CCATGGAGGAGCAACACACTTGCCGCACTCTCGCTTCCAAATCTGAACGAAGCAATGCTCCAACCCAGCTCAGAATGTTGCATAATCTCCAGTGCTGCCCTGAACCTCAAGCCAGTCACAAAACCAGTAGCCAGAGCATAACGCCTTGTGAAAAGCAGGACAGAACAGCACTGCATTTGTCGTGCGAGAAAAAATCGGACAGACAGGGTGCGTCTTTTCAGAATTGGTGACACGGGGTACACGCGAGAGTTCACAGGACCGAAGTTGTGGTCGACAGGACGGGTGATCTGTAGGAATGGTGAAGTCAATTACGAAATAACGATTGGAAACAACTAATGGATCAGTCAGGCAAATCAGCAGGGACCGAACCACGGAAAAACACATGGACCCGCAGATTAAAGACCGGCCAGAAGGCGAAGAAAACCACCAAGGCAGCTGATTGATGTCAAAGCAAAGAAAGCTGATTTGAATGAAGTATGCAAGGTGAGGAAGCAGCTTCAATTCGAGGGTGATGTCACGGAGGCGAAACAGCTGACTACCATGGTGCACACTAGCGGCAGGAAATTGGCCAGACCATGTGAGCGAATGACTGATTCGATGTCATGGTTAAACCGGAAGCTGGCGAAATAAGAACGTCGTCGCCGAACTGGATGCTATGTTGCAGACCTAACACTACCAACAGTCAGATATTGAAGCCGCTACCAGTGTCGAATCTATTTAGAAAAGAAATGTGCGTCACCACAGTGATAGCGGCGGAGCAACTGCATGTGACCTATAAAAGGAAGCATGTTCTGTGACTAATATATTTCGGTCTAGCAGGCTCGGCGTTTTGTTTCCCCGCCTGGTTGGCAGCGCAAAGAGATAGAAGCGAAGAGCAGCGTCCTAACAGGGATTGTTAAAGGAAGGAGAATACGGAAAACGTCGATCTCGTTTTTAGGCTATCTTTCATATTGAGCCGGAACAGGAATATGACATGCAACGTAGTCTATTTTTGACCACTTGGCGATATACCAATTTGACTTATCCGTGGTGTTTGGTCGAATTTGCGATCTCAATACAGAACACTGCCTCAAGCACCTCGGTGTTGATGTATGCTCAAATTTGAAGCTTAATTCTTCCTTGTGATGAATTTTCTAAGGTTACACAACAAACTAGACTGCTTCAGTGATGGAGGGCAATGTATTCAAATAGTAGTTAAAGTAAGTGTATCTATGATGGCAACCGAACGAATTTTCTCATATCCGTCCTCCACAAATCTGCTCTCTGACGCATCGCAGAATTGACACAAAAGGGGAAAGACACGCTCAAAGTGGATAATCGGTCATTTGATGCTCTGATATATCGGAGTCACAAGCAGTGTATTTCCATCTCAGGAAATGTAGGTCACTGCGATTATTTTATGAAAGCTTCATCTACGCAATTATCAACATAATGTGTTCAAACACTGCGACAGAACAGTTTATGAATTGCATTAGTATATCTATGAGATAAGAAGCAAATTACGGTATTTTTAACATCCGAACTTAAGGAGAAAGCTCATTTGAAACAAAATCAATAATAACCCTACTTTCTCGTTATCTTTAAGAAATATCACAGCGAGGTGGAGTGCATATAAGCTACGAACATAGCTAGACTCTGATTCCATGTCACTGCAAACCCATAATCGTTGCTAATATTAACATCAATGACCGCAGCGGATCTCTCACGGAAACAGTAATCAGCTTTTGGAAGTTTTGAGAAATCTGCAACAGCTGCAATGCCCTACCATAAGTATTTGGCATCCATGTCTGCGTGTTTCGCCAAGTGAAACCAATCCAATAAACACAGTATATCAAATGCACCGAAATATACAGTCTTCGATACCGCTAAAGACTCACGATCTCCGTAATCTACACGCGCAATGTCCTTGTTGTACAAACTACATAGTTACACTTGAACAGATGCTTGGATGAGTTTTGGAATAATGCACAGGATTGATGACTGTTTTTCCCTCTCCAACGGGTCCACACAACGTCCAGTATAGTAATCCTTTTCACCAAACGGTTGATGCCTGATCCCCAATTCCTGCTACAAATGCCAGTGTACCTACAGCACGTCGGAGATTCAGGGGTTTGGGACATGTCTGTCCATAATTTGTAGCCACTGGCGCCCACTTCATCAATGTGGTCACAATGCGTTTGAAAATGAAGTTTTTTAAAAGACAAGTATGCCCATCAGGAACGGACTCTGTGCTATTCAGTGGTGTCAACGTAAAGTTGGAACACCTTGCTGCATGTGCAAAAGGAGTAATAACTTTGACGCAGATCCCGCCTTGTTGAAAAAGGCTATGCACAAGAAACTAATATTCGAAATGATATCTAACAAACTGTTCGTTGCAGAGATTCCCATCGGACAATCTAAGCGTAATGGTAATAATTCCAAACACACATGCGACTGTACATGTGAGGTACCAGCGCAAATGTAGTGCTTGCTCGGCAAATCGAAATGTCTGTGATCAGATTGCATTAGCAGATGACGTCGCCCTCTACAATAAGGAATTTGCATCAATTGCTGTCCCGATATTTGACAGATCTGTGGTCTATCTTTAAACGCTTGCAGCATCTTCCTTTGCAATCTATGAGAATCCACCTGCTACGTTTATCTTATTCCAGAATATCCGGACAGCAGTTTGTTACCTGCTCACTGGCTAATCACACTTGTCTCAGTGAATCACTGAACTTTTGTAAGGCATAGGGTCACCATCCTTCTGTTATTCATATCATCTTGGTCCTTTCACTGCAGACTGCTGTCGAAACAAAAATGGAAATGCAATCTGGCCAAACCGACCCCGTCCAACTCAGAATTCCGCTGCAAAGAAAACCGCCTGATCTTAGAAGTCGACTTCCTATGCGATGGTTTGGCTGCTTTATTTCAACTGCACTGCAACTGAGATGGCCTGTCGCGATCTAAGAGAGACAGGGAAGATTCAGTACCAAAATAACAAAATGGATTACAAGCTGTTTGGTATTTTGCGAACTACAAAGGCAATGGTACTAATAGAATTCAAATGCGGGGCGAAATGTATTTCTCTAAGCATAAATAAAGGGATTATTTTCAAATATAGCTTTGAAGGGTATTCTAGGTATAAAGAGAGTGGTATTAAACAAGTAATTAGTCCATCAATCAGCGATCTAGCAAGCGCATGGATTTCACCAAAAAGTTCATGGAGAACACATAACGCACTGTCATATATCTTAGCAGGAGGAAACATGACGCACACGAGGATGGTATATTTGGCGCGACTATTGCCATAATATGTCTGATGTAGACACTATTAGCTGACTTCCACTCTGTTTCCATAAGGATATTCAAACTTAAACGTTTAATAATCAGCCTGCCTAAGAATTTCCAATAAATAGCGGGGATAAAATCGATATATATTCCCAGTCAAAATTTGGCCCATCTAGCTGAATATGCTGTTGTGGCATTAATATATAAACAGACGGGTTAAATAGGTTGGTGGTATGCCTGCTATTTTCCGGTAAGTATGAGGAGTTTCACAATTAAATATAAGCCAACGAAGCAGTTTTCTAAAGACGCAAAGTTGCATTAATACCAAGGCTGAGATGACCTGTCCACAAGTAGTGGAATTTGCTGATATCTTCCGTCCACATTTTCAAAAACACAAATAGTTGGTGAAAGAACGGGATTTATATTAATGTCATCTACTTGATCGCGGTACAAAATATTTTCGCTTGCACCGCAGACTATAGTTAATCTGTTGTCTTGTGTTTGTGTACAACACACATCTAATCGTTCAACGTTAACCAGCAAGTTCAAATTTCCTTTACCTTACAATCTTTAATAGTTACCAGCTGTGATATTGCGATCGGATGTGTTAAATATTGCGTGTCCTGTCTTTGCAAATTGAAAGTTGTTAGGACTTAGTATTCAGTTATCTCAAGTGCATAGGGCTCATTATGACGTGACTTGATTGATTGGCAATTAGCATCACATCAGTTTGCAACCACATCCAAATTCAAGTGATTGAATCGCGTTCCTATAGTACTGAAAATAACGTCATAATGCTGGACGATAGACACGCAGTTGAACAGCAATTCGCACTGTCGCGGATCACATTGCTATTATTCCAGTTACTTAATAACTGCTGGTGATGAGACAATTAGAATGCATAAGCCTGGTCACCAATAAAGCATTGTAAACTTTCGCGGTATGGAAGTCACACATCTTTGCTGTTAGTAGCTCGATTTCTGCGACACACATTCCCAGATGTTCACCGCGCATCTAAATTTCTGTGCCCAGAATTGCGCAGCAGGTAACTACGATCACACATCCGGTATTAATCTGTGAGAACACATGCAAAGAAATCATGAATACTTAGCGCAAAATCACATAACCCGCACGCGTATAAAACATAACAAGTGAGGTCTGTATCTTGCCACCACTAGGATGTAATCCTGCCTTGGACAAACAGTTCATGAAGATTGAGTCCTTTCACGGAGTCGAGAGAAGAGTGATCGCAATGGCATTTCTGCAGTACAACGTACGTCAAAATGGGAAAGGTAAGCGCGAGACGGAGTCACTATATAACAGGGTATAATATTATGCATACCCTCATACAAATCAAAACAGCAAAAACTTATTGTCAGAAAATACGAAAACCCAGGAATCCATATTTTTCACTCCATCATTGCAAGACTAATAGCACATGTACGCTGGTCGGAGAAATAATTGGACAATTAATTGGACAAAAATCCATAGCTCATGCGCGTGGCAGTGTGGGCTGACGAAAAGTCGTCAGCAATTCAACGGCTATCCGGCTTGTATTAATGGTGTGATCAACGGGAGCTGACCTAAACATAATCCATTTTCGCTGACAAAGTGGCTAGTTTAAGTAACGATCGCAGCATCTTAGGGTTGTACAAGGTTATGCCGTAAAGCATTTGTTGCATAACAGGGCAGTGATAAAATGGAGCAGACAAAATCACCGCATCACTTACCATCTCTTTTGTGCCGCTCAATATATTTAGCTAAAACCAAAGTAAATTTTAACAGACGTTTAGTAGTCAGCAATGTTGATGTAAAAGCAACGAGTTAAGCGTTCAATGTGATATTGAAACACGAAATGATCGAATTAGCAGGGGAGCCGGAGTGTTTCTGCGTTATCGATCCGACAGGTACGTTGATAACATTGAGGACACAGCAACGCAAATCGTTGCTGCTCCTTGGTATCGTATGCACCTAAGACGTGATGTGAGTTTCTTAGCATGAGTTTACCACCCACCAACGTCCCCCTTGGAAGTGGACCAATGCTTAGCTTCTGCAATCGAACAATTTACGGCTAACTTGCAAAAGGTGATTGTGGCCGTATATCTTTCCAACCATGTCACCTCTCTCATGCGATTCCGAACGGGTGACACACCATATATTTAGGAACTTTTGCTCTCTGACGGGAAACAAATATTCGACACCGTGACAATAGATGCAATATTGGCCTTAGTGGGCACGCGATATTGCTCGTTCGTTAGATTTGCAAATCGGAGTACATCGGTGAGAAACACTTGGAAACCTATGGCGTTTCACGTTACGATATCTTGCCACGCCTCGTTCAAGAGACCGACTGGTCCTTCCCGGCCAAACAGCGCCCGATGTCGCTTGGAGGATGTTTGGCACCCAATTTATCGAACTAGTGACAAATGCGTCAGAAGGCAAGGTCCTTCGCCCTAAGCAACTGAACTCATTTCTGACGCACCGTACTGTAAAAAGCATGGTCTAATTGGCTCAGCATGACGAGCTTACAATGTCAGTCCAAATACCCTGACCTAGGGTGCTTATACAACTCAACGAATCCAATGCGTCAAGTTGATTCGCAACGACAAATACCAGCACCAACAGAACTTAGCGGCGAAATATAGTACACATCCAAACTTGCTGATTAGACACGTCAACAAGCTCCGCAGCTTGCAGCGTGGGACCCCAGTTTTACGTGGCAATGATGGTCTGGCGCATACTACACAAAATGCGGCCAACCTGCTTCGTAAACACTTCATCCACACTTTCTAGATTGAATAACCACTTCACCAGCTTTTGACACAGGTCGCAACGACACCACAATTAAATCACGCATCGTTTACAGAAGCCAATTAAAAGACAAAAGTCATTGCGCGCGCGAGGCTCAGCTGAAGTGAATGACATAAAACCAAAGGCATTTAAGACAGCGGCCATGAATCTTGCCGAAACACTAGCTCGATACCTTCAACGTTGTCTCGACGAAGTGCAGGTACCTACAATTTGGAAACCTGGACCAATCACTCCTATTTACAAAAGTGGTAACGGTGTGGAACTTGCAAACTAACGTTCATTCACTCTCCTCCCAGTTTTATTCATAGTAATGGAAGGTATGTTCACAGAGGCTCCCATGCGACGCCTTGAGAGCAACAGCATACCATTGTCAAGGCAGCACGGATTCCGCCACAAACTGTATTGCACTACAAAATTGATTCTAGTCCGAGCAAGCTGAGCAGATTACGCAGAAGCTGGAGTGGGATTGGACGTCGTCTACCCGGACTTCTCTAAAGCGTTCGATAGTTGGATCACTGCGTTCTCCTGCATAAGCTTCGAAGCTGTAGAATCGATGACTCTGTGCTCGGTTGGATCGACAACTTCCTCCCTCAACGTCAGCTGAATGTGAGAGTCCGCAGCTTAATTTCCGATCACTTTGATATGCCGTGTGGCGTGCCACAATGATCGTTATTGGGGTCATGTTTATTCATAGAGTTCATTAAAGTTTTGCTAGTGCACTTTAGTCAAATTTCGTACCTTTTTTAGTTAATGCCAAAATTCGGCATGATATCAGAAGAGCGGATGATCACATGTCACTCCAAGGCGATCTCGACAGGGCTTATGCGTGACCATCCCATAACATGCTCCGATTCAACGTGGCGGGTGCAAAGTCGTCAGCATACACCGTCAGTATATCTATGAATATCGGCTTGGGGAACAGCGGTTGGATACTGCTTCCCACTAAAACGACCTCGAGGTGATTGTGAAGGACAGGATTTCCGTCAAGCATATGAACCACAATACTGCTCAGCCATATGTGTCACGAATTTCGGATACGGTGGTGTTGCATACTCACATAACATGAGTCTGTTTGTCGAACATCAACGCAACAATGCGAAGGCGCAACCTGTAGAACGAACCTTCAAACAACACGAACATGCAAGATAAAAGCCGAAAGCACAATGCTAGGAGAACCGCAATTGTTCCTGTGGTCCGCGAGCATCTCTCAAAGAAGCAAATGACTGAGAGCAATAGCTCTACGTCTGCGCGGCACCAGCTAAAGAATCTCATTGAAAATTATCTTATGTCCAATAATCGAAATTATGTGATCCAAGTTGCTGAATTTTGTGCCACAGTCTGAGCCAACGGTAGGCACTTCAACAGAACTGGACTGAGTCGCCATTCAGGGGGCGAACAGAAATTCGGCTGAATGCCGCAGAGGAACCTACACATGTTTCCGGTTGATCAATGGATGTGGCAACTTCAATAATGTGCCCATTGTTAAGTCCAACGCAGCGACTGAGATAATAGCCGTCACATCATCGGGGTAGGCAATGCAGTATATACGTGTCTATCAGGGTCATCATGGACAGGAGTGTTTGGCACAGCAATGTATCCGGACTACATGTCAAAAGTCGGCGCAACCTTAATAAAACGAGCATAAACACACCTTAGCTTGGTTGCAAGTTATTAAAACTTATGTCCGCAATTAGCACAATGGACTTAAACTAAACGAGTTTCTCTATCTGCGATAGTTGGCGTGTTATTTTCAGCAATATGATAAGAAGTAGTGCATTAACATGATTAACAAAGAATAGCTTACGTTCCCCCAAATTTCTACATCGATCGCTAAGAAGCCGCCGGCAAATGAATTCAAGAGTAAGTGGAAAAATATTTGAAAAGTATATGCAGTGGGTTTTGCAGAGAATTGTAAAGTTTCGCTCAGTATAATTTACCTTTACTTGACAACAATTCAGTCGATTCAGTGGCTCAAATTACAAGTTTATTTCGTAATTCGAAATGGAAGATTTTGACTGAAACATGAGGAGGACATTTCCGTTTTCATTAGATGGGGCTACGCAAATTAGGGTCTAAAACTAATATATTTGGGCTCGAAGACACCGTTAAGACTGATACCTAGCGAGAGAACAAAGTAAAGATGTTTGCTTAAAGATAATTGTCGCCACACCTGCAGGTCCACAATACCCACTCTGACCAATGATCACCACGTTTAAATACTCATGCTCGACAATTTCTGCTGCAACAAATTGGTCTTATGCGAATAGTTGCTAGAGACATCAGCATTTATTTCAGTGCATTCGTCCCCGTATTTGCAAGCTGGGTAGCACAGCCTAGTGCAGAGACACCAGACGCGTTACACTTTATGAGAAGCCGTCAGTAGTGCGCATTCCTACGGTCCCCAAATGGGGATCGCATCCATGATCGCTGAATGCAGATACCTACTATCCAGCAGCTCAAGCCCCCGAGCCATTGGGGACGTTGCCTGGGCCATATGATTTCCTAGCTAACTAGGATATAGCACCATCTATCTTGCAATGTTTCTCACAGAGCCGAGCTGACGATTGTATGATATCCTCTCGCTAGATGCTTTGTCCATAGCATTTGAAAATAGGTGAGGATATGTAGTCTACATAAGTCCATTGTAGCCGGACTTACTTGTAATTTTTTAATGCTTTTCATTCCAGTAGTTCGCAAGTTACGTAGCACAGTCAAGTCCGGAAAAGCACCAGACGCGTTTCGCCATATTGGGGCTCGTAATTCGTGCGCATTCCCTCGGTTCCCTAATGGGGATCGTACCCGAGAACGTTAGAGGCAGATGCCAACTAGTTAGCAGCTTAAGTCACTAAAAGATGGGAGACGTTGCCTGGGCTTTATTCGTTGCAACCTAAGTAGGATTTAGCATGACCTATTTCCACTGTCACTGGGAGTGCAAGACGAGCCCTGCTCGAGCGAAACGCCTCTGGTATTTTCCGGACTAAGTTTCGCTACGTAGATTGCAACATACGGGGGTGAAAACTCAAACATATTCAACTGAAATCTGGCTACTCACGAGCAACACCAGGATTGTCACTTGTCCCGTAGGTGAAGAACGTGTTAAATTAAAAGCGAAATTCGCGTTCAGGAGAAAACTCTCTCAACTACAAGATCAAAACTTAAGATTTCATGGCAGGTAAGCAGCAGTTATCTACCGTCGCCGCAACCACCCAATTATTAAATCATTAAAGTGTAGGAGTGAAAAATTGTTTCCGCATTCGGCAACTGCGCGCTAGGTATGAAGAAGTCGTCCAGCAATTTTCCAGGTGTGTGGTAGATGGCTTCCTATTCATCTGACAAAAGCGTTTCTACAATGTGCGAGGAAATCCTGCCCGTCGCGGCGCCGTGAGTGCAGCACCAGCGAAAATTAGCTACACAGTTTGTATGTTTACTCGTGAGATCAACCTGAGCTACTTACGGGACAAACTACGTTGTCTAATACCAAATGAGCCAAGATGCTTACAGACTAGTTTCCGAGTGCACGTTTTATAGATAAAACACTGACAGAGATAACATAAGGAAAATTTTGGGTAAAATTTATGACACATTGAAAGGCACTTACGCACATTAAAACCTCATGTGCAAACAATGAACTCACCAGAACTGTGCAAAGCCAAAGTAGCGCACACCGCGAAGGCAACGCAGAGAAGACTCGTAAACATTTTGATCCTTCTAGCGAAATACTTGGCACCGTTGAAAGTGATATTTATATCGTAGCCTGAATTACAGGAAATGTTGCGAATCGCAAACAAGTCGAAATAAGCAAGTGAGCTGAAACCGGACGAATCGCTACAGCAGCTGAGTTTCTGAGCTGGTAGTCAGTTCTTTCCAACCATGTTTGTGCAGCAACGGGTTACTGGAGGAAAAAAAGCACTTGTTTCGTTTGGTTAACCAAGGCAGACCCGGGGTGAATTGGCACAGTAGTTTGTTCATTCGCAGAGATACGTGATGCTGTTTAGCGGTGCCATTGGATACAACAAAATGTTCTCACACATTCTTGGGATCCAGCCGTTAGTAATGATCACAGAATTGTAGCATAGGAAGCAGATATCATCACTGCAAGGATACTGCGTGTTTTGCTTATGTACAGCACAATTCTTTGCGCGGCTGAGATGCATTCTACTGCGAAGTAATCCGCACCATTGACGGCATCAACGGATTCAAACAACTGTTGATGCTTTCGTCATGAATCTATCGAAACCATTTTAAATAATGTTTATTAACTTTAATTTCCTCTCCGTTTACTTCGATCCGCTTACCAGTATATGGCGTTGCGATCTGACCTGACTGTTCATATAAATTTTTAAATAGCCAATAGTGACACGAATAAAAACCAGCATGAATAGTGTGTAAATGTTGAATTATCTACGCTGGGTTGTGATGGACCTGAAAGAAGCATATGGATGTGAGATCAACGCAGATCCCGCGTCCTTGTCACAGTTTCAATAATAGCTAGCTTTTGGTGTGGGAATGATCCCGACGGCCTGGTTCGAAAAAGAAGGCACCTATCTGATATAGCACTTTAATTCGATTTTTTTATGCGTATTCTTGATTTGAAGTCCAAACATTCGGACTTGAAAAGCTTTAGCGGTTTGGAGAGAGTGTAGTCGGTGAGCAGTGAGTAGAAATCAATGAGCAAGCCTCGGACTATGATTTGGAATCCTGGTAGCGAGTTCCGGCTGTGGCAAATGCCTACTGAGAAATCACGCGCAGAATATGTTACTTCATCCAGTTTGGTTTGGCTTTTAGCTTGGTGGACAGTCGGAAAAATTAAGATAATAATAATGCACCAGCGTTCCAAATAAGGCTTACAAATTGTCCTTGGATGTTGAGGATTCATTTTTACACTAGTTACTGCGTAATCATCCATTTCGTATATCTTGATAAATATGAATGACTTAACCTCCTACTCTAGCGCTACTTGAAGACTCTTCTCGACACCGCTTTCTGCTCGCAGAATGTTGAATATTCCCATAAATCGGTAACACCATTAGATGAATTTTGCAAAAGCATTCTAGCAGCGGGAGGAAGCACCTTGCTGATTTGCAAGTCATTCTAAGAGGTTTTACCGAAAAGCGGATACAATTACCAACGATCCTTTCCAGCAATGTTCACTCATAACCAGGAAATTCGTCGTTTTTACCGCAATCTTACATTGATATGAATATTCAAACGCCGTCGTTTTCATGTTACAGTGAGGTTGTTTGCCTTCTCATATGGAATACGAAATTATTCCACTAGCTGTCTATCGATCCATCAGGTCTGATCGGGCAAGCTATTTCCCCGGAATCATGGAGGCGGTGAATATGCTTGCGTCAACCGACCTTGGCGCAAGTCGGTAATATAACTGTTCACGTACACAACAATCACTGTTAGCTGTCATATGATTGAATGCAAGTCACGGTTTCTGAACGGTATTGGTTCTGTTTTCTACGGAAACGTATACATACCATTTGACACACTAGCGTCCGAACTGAACAAATTTGCTAAACAGTTACCCCCGGTGTTACTACTAAAACTCGAACGCTCAGTTTGTGATTGCTGAAGGTTAGAAAAAATGTGATACTAATTTTATTGAGGCAGTTGATCTGATGAAAATAGTGAATATCTCAACTGGGCATGAGGAAGAATTAGATATTGTCTTCACAAACACCTTTCGACTGTTTTCCACTCGGAAAACGGCTCTACTAGGCTCTACTAGTTACAATAAAACTAACTCTGTTTCTTTGACTCACATAACATGCAAAACTATCCCGCGACGGGTATTTACTTGCCCAGTATCGCGACTCTTCAAACAACGTTGTCTTTTATTATTCTTACTGTTCTCAACAACGAAATTTGTCCGTTCAATGTGAGCACCTCAGCGACTACCCCAAATGTGGCTTAGGCCTTGGCTGCCCAGTCGATACAACTTATTTAAACAAGGAGGAGTACTTCTCCCCAGTACTCAAATAACGAAGAAGAAAGAAAGAGAGTATATTTAAATTGAAAATGCCTGATTGTGTTAAAATACTTTCTTCAGCAAGAAAACCTGAGATGGAACGTCTGAATATACTGCTCATTAATGCCATTTTGTCCAACAACAATTGCCATGAATTGTGACAACTTTTGAGATAACTGTGTTGTAAAAGCTTTAGTAAACAGCTGGGATCTGTAGATGTCAATTTACTAAACTCTGAATTCTGATCTACCCCAACAAATGCCTGCTCTCTGCCTTTTTCGCTTGCTATAACTATCAACAGCTAGTCCAACATTTGCATTACAATACCACATGATCTACCAGAAACGCAAAGTGCTGAAGATGAGGCAGGCTGGATGAACTGATGCTCTGTCACCAATTATTTTAAAGAAGTGCGCCGACTCCCTCACCTTGACTTTAACAAATCTATTGATTTGTCGCTTACATAGTGGCACCTTCCTGACATTTGAAGACCCATCAAGTTAACGCCAGTCCCAAAGAAAGTAGCTCAGAACTTTTGTCCCATTACTCGTACACCAGCCTTAGAATGATTGCGTATTCCTTTGATTTCTACAAGCTCCTCAGCTACTGAGGCCTATCAATTTTCGTATGATCATAAACCCTCCAGTTTGGATGCTGTAGCCTATCTCGTTCGCTCAATAGCATCTGCGTTGGAAGCTAAATGTAAGGCAGTACGTCTGTTTTTCCTGGATTATTCAAACGCTTTTGGGAGTTTCGTAAGTTCACCGCTTCTCAACCTTGTATTCACGAACGGCGTCCAGCCTGCGTTGTGCAATCTAATTGGAGCTTATTTTACAAACCGCTCACAATTTACCCAACTGAACGGGAAAACGTCCTCCACTATGGGTAACGGGGTCAATTACACGGAGCATTCTTCTCTTCTATTTCTTCACTTGCACATCGAGTAACATCCTAATCCATCAGGTTTTATTAAATGTAAATATGCAGACGACGATGTTTTAGGCGGTGGATTTCCTATGAACGAGTCGTTCTTGTCGCTTTAATACTGTTGGAAGATCTGAGATAGTGCAAATATTCCCGTTCTCTTGTTCCCAATGCTTCACATTGCCATGGTTTAACCGTTTCTCCACGCTGACAAACGCCAAACTTTCCCAACGCTTTGAGCTCCATTGTTGAGAACGAATGCAGTATATCTAATTCACTTACTGTTAGGTAACTTGGCACACTTATATTCCAGTATTTAATGGGTTATAAACACATCGACGAAATTTTCGCCAGGTAAGGATATTGTTACTTTAAGCATAGTGGTTCTATATGCATCCAGTAACACGCTATTTAATCAACAAATTCGTTAATACATGTACTCTCCCTCATTGGATTTACTGCTTACCTGTACTTTTCCCTAGTCTTCCAGAAACTAACTTTACAATTATTGTCCGTTCGATTAAGCATATCACAAATGCCCTGAGATACCCCGAGCGTCGCTTGTAGACTTCATTGTTCCGAGCCTTTTAACACATGTCACAGAGTTACTTCATACTATAAATGATTCTTATTATCCACTCCAAGATGAGTTATCAAAAACTCATCTCTTCTCATCTACAAGAACAAAATGTAAGGTTCTCTATTCTCGCACTGCTTCTTATTCTAACTCTGCTTTGCCTTATTTATCACGTCTTCTAGTTAAATCGACCACGATTATTGAAGTCACAGACGCACATTTGCTTCGGTAGAAGTCTGCAAATTTTGTTCTTTTTACTGTTTGCATGTCCTTTTAAGGAAACCATTTGAACTCAACTTTTATCTTCCGAAGTACCATGAAAAAAACTTGCGGAAAATGTGCTAAGTCTGGTATCTTACGATAATTAAAACTTTGAATTTTTATTACCAACGTGTGGATGACGAATTGCGAATTTACACATTAGCTTTTCCTACTAGTCTGACATACTGCGCAGGAATCGGCTAGAAAATAATTAAGGATGTCAAGATCCTAAGTACGTAGATGCCAATCTTTGAACTGTAAAATAATACTTATCGAACTATTGTGTTTACATCTTCTGCTTTAAATTTAAGCATTGATTCTGAATCCATATATAAATGCATTGTTATTGGGCTGTACGATAAGTAGCAATGCATGCAACATCACCATAAGGATGCAATTCGGCTTTCGCTTTTCGGAGTACGTTTACGACACATAGTAGTATCTCATCAAAAACCCGATATATGTTTCCAACAACCAAAGCAGCAAGCTCTCAAATTCGATCCTAATTTTTATTGGTTGGTGATTATAACACAGACGCGTTAACCCCATTTCACAAAGAATAAAATCGAACTCCTCGCTGAATATGCCGATGGTTTGCGACAAGGGTTACTAATAAGAGTAAGTTAGACCATCACAAATTTTACAATTTATCACAGTTCACTAAATCTGCAACTTTCTTGAGCAAGTAATTTTGAAGAGAGCATCTTCGCACTGAATCAAATTCCCATTTGATGTCGATGAACAGCATTACTATGGGCTGTGCATATAATCTGCGCTGCGTCAAAAATTTGCACAACGTGAGGATACCGTCAAAGCAGCCTCGCTTTTGACGAAGACTGTCCTGCTCTTTACTAGTCCATATTTTACAGGTAATGATATATAAACAATATAGAAATGGCAAATGAAATCAGACAAAAACAGCTTCGATAGCCGCGATTTAGACGTGAACCCCTTCCAATTTTGAAGACAAAACGGCGAATATTCAGTTGATTACGGCAAGTCCCTACTCTCTTATATTTCCCACTGCATCGTGCAACTCGTCCACAAGAAAACATCAATTTGAATTCGAGCAGGGCTGAAAGAGTTCTTGTATAGCCGCTATAGTCTGATCTCACTTCGAGATCTACGAATCGTTAAATGGCCAATCAAATGGTTTGCTTTGGCATTGCACACACTTTTCGAGGTGTAATTAGATGATTCCAATCTTGTCGCGTACAATCCTGCGAACACACGTTAACCTGCTGCCCCTTACCCTTAAAAGATGAAATACGTCCAAAAGTTACCAACGATTGCTGCCGTTCCCATCTCCGATGAACAATGGAATCACCGGGTTTCGCGGCCCAACTTTATTCCAGCATGAAGCATTACCTAGAGTTCTGTACAAGTCTACATGTGTTCGATCTCAGGTAGAATGTAACGGTGAATAAGCTGAAGTTTAGAGACGACGTAGGATCCGCAACTAAAGTACAAACATGATTTCTCTAAAGAAAACAAAACTAGTGTCAATGACCTGAGATAAAATGTGAAAATTGGCTGTCAAACATAATAAATGCGCGTCTAAAATCCAACAACATCTCCTGAAATGTGAGCAACTGCAAAAGCTGCAATGAAAAGAAAGCATACATAATAGATTTAACAAAAAATGTCGTAAATAGTTGAATATAAAGAGAGAGAAATGGCCATAATATTTTCAGTGGGATAAAATGTGGTGTGGCTGCGCATTATTCAAAATGGTTTCGATATAATCATGACGGAAGCAGCAGCGTCTATTTGAATCAGGTGATACCGTCAATGGGGCCGATTACTTCGCAGTAGAATGTATCTCAGTCGCGCAAAGCATTGTGCTGTACACAGACAACACACGCAGTATTCTTGTAGTGATGATATCTGCTTCCTATGCTACAATTCTGCGATTATTATTAACGCCGGATCCCAAGAATGTGTGGGACCAATTTGTTGGATTCAATGGCACCGTTAAACAGCATCAAGTATCTCTGCGAATGAACAAACTACTGTGCCAATTCACCCCGGGTCTGCCTTGGTTAAACAAATGAAACAAGTGCTTTTTTCCTCGAGTAACCTGTTGCTACACAATCATGGTTGGAAGAAATAGACTACCAGCTCAGGAACTCAGCAGCTGTAACGATTCGTCCGGTTTCAGCTCACTTGCTTATTTCGACTTGTTTGCGATTCGCAACATTGCCTGGAATTCAGGCTGCGGTATAAATATCACTTTCATGGGTGCCAAGCATTTCGCTAGAAGGATCAAAATGTTCACAAGTGTTCTCTGCATTGTCCTCGCGGTGTGCGCTACTTTGGCTTCGCACAGTTCTGGTGAGTTCATAGTTTGCACATGACGTTTTAATGTGCGTATGTGCCTTTCAATGTATACCATAATTTTTGCCCACCATTTTCCTCATATTATCTCTGCCAGTTTTTCACTCACAAAACGTGCACTCAGAAAGGAGTCTATAAGCATCTTGGCTCATTTAGCATTAGACAACGTAGCTTGTCTCGTAAGTAGCTCAGTTTGATCTCACGAGTAAACATGCAAATTTCATAACTAATTTTCCCCAGTGCTGTAATGTCTGCGTCGCGATGTGCAGGATTTCCTCGTATATAGTAGAAACGCTTTTGTCGGATGATTAGGAAGCCATCTATCACAAACCTGAAAACTCGCTGGACGACTGTTTCATATCTAGCGCGCAACTACCGAATGCGAACACAATTTTTCACTCTTACACGTGAGTGACCTAATACTTGGCTAGTAGCGGCGGCGACACATATCTATTGCTTAGTTGCTAGGAAATCTTACTTTTCGAGCCTGATGTAGGGTGAGCTCTCTTCTGAACTTTAATTTCGCTGTTAAATTAACACTTGCTTCCCCTATGAGAAAAGTGACAATGCTGATGTTGCTCGTGAGTAGCCAGATTTCATTGGATAATTTTTAAGTTTTTACCCCCGTACGTTACAAGCTACGTAGTAAAGCTTAGTCCGGAGAATACCAGAGGCGTTTCGCTCTAGCAGGGCTCGTCATTCACTCTCAGTGACAGTGGAAATAGGTCATGTTAAATCCTACTTAGGTTGCAACGAATTTGGCCCAGGCAACGTCTCCCATCATTTAGTGTCTCAAGCTGCTAACCAGTTGGCATCTGCCTCTAGCGGTCTTGGGTGCGATGACGATTAGGGGACCGAGCGAATGCGCACCACTTACGAGCCACAATAGGGCGAAACGCGTCTGGTGCTTTTCCGGAGTTGGCTGTGCTACGTAACTTGCAAACTACTGGAATGAAAAGCATTAAAATATTACAAGTAAATCCGGCTACAATGAAGTAGTATAAACTATATAGCCTCACCTATTTTCAAATGCTATGGACAAAGCATCTAGCGGAAGTATATCATGCAATCGTCAGCTAGGCTCTGTCAGAAACAGTGGAAGATAGATGGTGCTATATCTTAGTTAGCTAGGAAATTATATGGCCCAGATAACATCCCCAATGGCTCAGTGTCTTGAGCTGCTGGATAGTAGGTATCTGCCACTAGCGGTAATGGATGCGATCCCTATTTGGGAACTGTAGGAATGCGCACTACTGACGGCTTCTCATAAAGCGAGACGCGTCTGGTGATTCTCCGGACTAGTCTGTGCTACTCATCTTGTAACTACCGGGACGAATACACTGAAATAAATGCTGATATCTCCATCAACTATTCTCATAAGACAAATTTGCTGCAGCAGAATTTCCCGAGCATGAGTATTTAAACGTGGCGATTATTGGTCGGAGTCCTTATTGTGGACCAGCATGCGTAGTGACAATTATCTCTAAGCATACATCTTTATTGTGTTCTCTCGCAACGTATCAGTCTTAAGCTGTCTTCGGGCCCAAAATATATTAGTTGTAGACCTTAATTTGCGTAACCCTGTCTAATGAATTCGGAAATGTCTTGCTCATATTCCAACCATAATTCTCCATTTCTACTCACGAAATCAACTTGCAATTTTGAGCTACTGATTAGATTGCTTTTCAGTCAATAACACTAAATCTGGAAAGCAATACCTCAACAATTCTCCGCGAAACCTTCTGCCTATGCTTTTTAAATATTTTATCACTTGCGCGTGAATGCATTTGCCGGCGTCTTCTCAGCGATCGATGAAGAATTTTGGGGGAAGGCCAAATATTCTTTGTTAATCATGTCAATTCATTACTCTTTATCCAATTGCTGAAAACAACGCGCCTATGATAGGAGAGAGAAAACCCGTTTACTTTAATTGTATTTTGGAAATTAGGGACTGGAATTGTAATAACTTGTCGACCAAGCTGAAGTGTGTTTATGCCCGTTTTATTATGGTTGCGCGGACTTTCGTTATGTAGTTTTGATACATTGATGCGCCAAACAATCCCGTCCATGATGACTCCGATAGACACATATATACTACAGTGCCTATCCCGATGATGTGACGGCTATTATCTGAGTCGCTGCGTTGGACTTAACAAAGGGCACATTATTGAGTTTGCCACATCCATTGATCAGGGGGTAACATAAGTCCGTTCTTCAGCAACATTCAACCGAATTTCTGTTCGTCACCTGAATGGCGACTCAGCCCAGTTCTGTGAAAGTGACTACCGTTGCCTCAGACTGTGGCACAAAATTCAGCAATTAGGATCACGCAATTTTGATTACTGGACACTAAGATAATTTTCAATGAGATTCTTTATTTGACGCCGCGCAGACGTAGAGCTATTGCTCTCAGTCATTTGCTTCGTTGGGAGATACTCGGGGACCACAGGAACAATTGCGGTTCTCCTAGCATCGTGCTTTCGGCCTTTATCTTGCATGTTCGTGTTGTTTGAACGTTCGTTCCACGGGTTGCGCTTAACGATTGTTGCGTTGATGTTCGACAAACAGACGCATACTATGTGAGTATGCTGCACCACCGGCTCCTAAATTCGTGACACATATGGCCGGGCGGTATTGTGGCTCATAGGCTTGACGGAATTCCTGTCCTTCACGATCAATTCGAGGTGGTTTCGTTTGCAAGCAATTCGACATTCGTATGTATACTGGTGGCGTATGCTGATGACTATACACTTCACCACGTTGAACTGGAGCATGTAATCGGATGATCACGCATAAGCCATTGTCGAGATCGCCCTGGAGTGACATGTGATCATCCGCTCTTCCGATTACATGCCGAATATGAACATTAACTTAAACGGTACGAACTTTGACTTAGGTGTAATAGCAAGCCTTTTATGAATTCTATGAATAAACGTGGCCCCAATGGCGATCATTGTGGCACGCCACACGGGATAGCAATGTGATCGGAAATTTATCTGCGGACTCTCAAATTCAGCTGACGTTGAGGGAGGAAGTTGCCGATTCAAACGAGCACAGGGTCACCGATTCCATAGCTTCGAAACTTATGCAGGAGAATGCGGTGATCCAACTATCGAACGCTTTCGGGAAGTCCGGGTAGACGACGTCCAATTCCGCTCTAGCTTCGGCGTAATCTGCTCAGCTTGCTCGGACTAGAAGCAAGTTTATAGTGCAAGACAGGTTGTGGTGGAATCCGTGCTGTTTTGCCACTGGTATGCTTTTGTTCGCATGGTGTCCTATGGGAACCTCTGTGAATATGCCTCCCATTAATTTGGATAAAACCAGGTGAAGAGTGATTGGACGTTAGTTTTCAAGATCCACACGGTTACCACTTTTGTAAATAGGAGTGATTGATTCATGTTTCCACATTGTGGGTACCTGCACTTCGTCGAGACAACGTTGAAAGAATTGAGATAATGTTTCGGCATGGTTCGTGGCCGCTGTTTTCAATTCCTTTGGTTTTATGTCGTCCACGTCAGGTGAGCTGTGCACGCGCAATGAATTTTGTCTTTTTATCAGATTAGCTACTTTAAACGATGCGTGATTTAATCCTGGTGTCGATGGGAGCTGTATCAAAAGCTGGTGAAATGATTATTCACTCTGGAAAGTGTGGATGAAGTGTTGGCGAAGCAGGTTGGCCGCATTTTGTGTAGTGTGCGCCAGTCCATCATTTGCACGTAAAACTGGGATCCCACGCTGCAAGCTGCAGAGCTTGTTGACGTGTCTAATCAGCAAGTTGAGATGTGTAATATATTTCGTTTCTAAGTTCTGTTGGTGCTGGTATTTGTCGTTGCGAATCAACTTGACGCAGTTGTTTCGATGAGTTGTATAATCACCCTAGGTCTGGGTATTTGGACAGACTTTGTGAGCTCGCTATGCTGAACCCCTCTAGACCATGAATTTTATAGTACGGCACCTCAGGCTTGAATTCTAATGCTTCGGGCGAAAGACGTTGTCTTCTGACGCATTTTCACTAGTTCGATTAATTGGGTGGCAAACATCCTCCAAGCGACATTGGGCGCTGTTTGGCCGGGAAGGACCAGTCGGCCTCTTGAACGAGGTGTGGCAAGATATCGTGATGTGAAACGCCATAGGTTTCCAAGTTGTTCTCACCGATGTACTCCGATTTGCAGACCTAACGAACGAGCAATACCGCGTGGTCGCTACGGCCATGTAGTGCATCTATTGTCACGGTGTCGAGCATTAATTCCGCGTTAGAGAGCACAAGTTCCCAAACAGATGGTGTGTCACCCTTTCAAAACCGCTTGGGAGAGATGACGTGGTTGTAAAGAGGTACAGCGAAAATCACCTTTTGCAAGTTAGCCGTAAACTGTTCGATTGCAATGCTGGAATTTTAATTGTGTATAGGTTGAAATCCTGCACAAGAGGTAGGTGACTGTGTGGTTGGGTCAGAACTCAGTTCATCGCAGAAGCTAGGCATTCGTCCACTTCCAAGGTGGACGCTGGTGGGCGGTAAACTTATGCTAATATATACACATCACGTCTTAGGTGCATAGGATACCAAAGCGCAGCAACGATTTGCGTTGCTGTGTCCTCAATAATATCAACGTGCCTGTCGGATCGATAACGCAGAAACACTCTGTCTCCACTGCTAGTTCGATCGTTTCCTGTTTCAATAACACCCTGAACGCTTAACTCGTTGTTTTTACATCAACATGGCTGATTGCTAAATATTTGTTGAAATTTACTTTGGTTTTAGCTAAATATATTGAGCGGCACAAAAGAGATGGTAAGTGATGCGGTGATTTTGTCTGCTCCAATTTATCACTGCCCTGTTACGCAACAAATGCATTACGACATAACCTTGTGCAACCCTAAGATGATGTGGTCGTTAGTTAAACTAGCCACTTTGTCAGCGAAAATGGAATATATTTAGATCAGCTCCCATTGATCACACCCTTAATACAAACCGGAAAGCTGTTGAATTACTGACGACTTTTCGTTATCCCACACTGGCACGCGTATGAGCTATGGATTTTTGTCCAATTAATTGTCCAATTAATTCTCCCTCCCTGGGACCTCTCCTCATGCCTTTGTCAAATGATTGCGAGAAAATGTAGCATAGGGTTTTAATGAAAATAATGAGTCCTGGATGCCCTACTCTGAAGTTAACATCGACTAGCTAACACTTCATTTTGCAGTTACGTTTCTGCCTACATCTCTTGGTTTTATTGGTGCCTGCTACATCCACTCCGTAGTACTGTCTGTTGTAAACAACTATGACTTCACTATGAGCTGAGCCCCAGTTTAGATTATGTGAATATGCAGACGCATCAGAAAGTCAACAATTAAATTGTTGCATATTTATATGTTCCCACCCTAGATCTACATAACATCATCATAGCAGTAAGACTGCGCTGCGGCTTTAATGCATCTGCGCTCTTGATCGCTTGGTGGCTCATTGTATTTAATATATTGCAGTAAACTGAATTCTTTCTTATTAAAACTAATGGGATCTAGAGAGATAAATCACACAACCAATTTTAATTTTTCATCATCAAACGAGTTTTTGAACTGCGGATGTTGATCAAGGAGCAATACACAAATTGGAAATTCCGTACCCTACTTATTCTTTGTTACCTCACGTACGTGGTTGCCTGAATAGATGGCTTATCTGTTGTCTCATATATTCCATATTCTGAGCGATAGACTATAAAATGTACGTATGCTATGGCATATAATCCCCGGTATACGCTGCATCCCTACTGTTTTTCAGTGGCTTCCGACCTAGATATTCCCTCAATCGACGGTGAGTCATCCTTATTTCTTCCTGCATTTGCGACTTACACAGTGAATCACAATACAAGTGTGATGCTACCATATCGTGTGTACACTAGTTAATACTCCATGAGAATCCTGATTGCCCTGCAGGAAATGTGCTCTCATTTTAGTAATATATATATTGGGCAATGCCAATAGCATGAATGCAAAATTTTTCAGTGCATCAATACATTTTAAATTTCCAGTTTGATACATATGAGTTCGTTGCTCAGCTTTATCAACATTATGGTGTACTAAGCCAGGACAAATAATGTCGCTGGATCAAGTATTACAATCGTATTAGGAAATATCCGTATTGCTCAACTGGAATTGCATCATCGCTTACTGCATGCTTCTCACCGGGTTTAAACTTGAGACTTAAGAGTGATGTGCAATCTTTTTCGTTGTATATTCAGTTTGATAGACATTGAACTGGTATGGTGAGACAGAATTCATTTCTTTGCGGAAGGTAATTCATTAGTACATTTGAACAATGATATTATGCAGACAAAAAGCCAAAGCAAAGTCCCGTGCAAAGTCCCATGGGATAGTTTGTGAAACTAAAGTGGATTCAATGAAGTGACATAAAATTGAAAAACACATATGCGGAGTCACCATATTATCCGCTTTAACGCAGGTATATCCGACTCTCCGACTTCGTGGGATTGATAAGCACAATATTTGTCTGCTTCTTGTCATCACCCAATGAATAGAAATCAGCTCAAGAAATGTAGGTGGTGTAAATCACAGTCAAGTCGTATTTTAAATATGGGTATCGGGGACGCAAAATGACAAAAGTCAAAGGAACGTTCCACGGTTGAATAACTCTAAAGGATAAGTACTTCCGGCGGCATTCAAGCCGACTGTTTTGTGCAGAAAACTGCAATGTATGACTACTGATTTCCGTTTTGCAGCTTATCGTCAGTTGTGGCAGCAAGCGTAATCAGGGTCCTTAAAATCTGTTACGCCGGGATGAGATAACCCCGTAGACGGCCATATCGTCCACTCTACACTCCTATCGATTTCAGTCGCCTAGGTTATTGCAAGTGGGACAAATCGTCCACATTTTTCATTGCTCGTCGCTCTAAAGTCTCCAGTGCAATAAGGTCGCGTTTTAACCAGGTTTGCAAAGTCTGGATTGCTTACTGGAAATGGGGCCTCACATACGCATTGAGACATTGAGGGAAGACGGAGGGATCGAAACTTCCGAACGCCCTGCGTAACAGATCAACATGTTGGTTCGCAGTTGTCGGCGCCTTCAAGGACTGCGCCGTACAGCTGAGGCCGTCTTGGATTACCACCCCAAAGTCTCGCTCTTTTGAGACAGTAGCCAACATATTTTCTCTACGCTTATCTACGTACATGCGCGTGTGGCGGGCATTCACCGTTTTGCACTTGTCCGTGTAAAACCGTACTATATTAATCTTGACCATTCCAAAGCGCGGGGAAGTCTCGTTTCAAAAACATCTTGATCTTTCTGACATTCTATTGTCTTCCACATCTTGATGTCATCAGCAAAAGGTAAGGATATTTGACTTGCTGAAACACGCAAGCTCATTAATGAAGAACAAAAGTAACGGCAACCTTGACCACGACCTTTGTCTAACAACGCATTCCACTCCAATTGGATAAGAAAATGAACCTGGAATGCGAAAATGCAGACGCGGCTGATATAGGAAGATTCCGAACCATGCAGAGTGTATCTAACTACCTATGCTTGCAAACTTTATCGAAGGATGCAGAGATGTCCTAACTGGAAATTTGGAAAAATGTATGGTAAGTCCGAAACGTCTGGTCAATCTACTCTGTTAATACGGGACAATGGGTCTCACCTTCTGGTGCGAGGTAGAACCCACTGAATTGCCAAATTGTAACCACTTTTCACATTCTGGAGGCTGTTCCCATGTCAGTACGGATGATTTTTTTGACACAAAAGACGTGTCCGCTAGAGACTGCTGGTGTACTAATTTGTCCTCACGCACAAGTGTGGTACAGTTATTACGATACACAACATAGTTACTGCAGTTGCATGGGCTATGTTTCGCTCTACACACATGTTACGCAACGTCTCTTACTCTCATGCATATTTGTGTTCTACTACAAATAAACATTTGTGCCATTTATGAATGAAGGGGTTTGTTGACCGATGCAGATTTAATCAGCTCACTGATTTTGCCAGTAAAATGCAACAATGCACTGTCAATGGAACAGTCGTTCGGAAACTCCAACGCAACCTCTGCCAAAAGTTCCGCAATTATGTTGTGGTGGGCGATTGTTCGAAACAAGTTGAATGTTCTTGTACATACATGACGTGGTACGTTATGTCTACCTAGTCGCTTCACCACAAAGTGCTCTCCAGCCTTGGTATTTTGACCGTAAGCTCTCTCTTCTTGAGCACTAAATCAAGCATCTATGGTTTAATTCCGGCTCTGAATCGAGTAGGTGAAATGACATTGTCGAATAGCGGAGATCTCAAAATATACCCTTACCGGTCAGCCATAATCTGTTGATTGGAGGATGCCGGAACATCCTAATCATGAAGATTGAAGACACCGGATATGAGAACATGGCTCTATCGTCTTCGTAGGACCGCTCACAAAGATAATGATAAGCGGGATTTAATCCCCGAGGTGGACATTGGGGGACGATAAACAACGGCTGAAACGTAAGTGTCGTTTCGTCTTAGTTGCAGATTGCATCAGAGTTAGTCCGTGATCAGCTTTTCCGGGTCAGCAACCGGTTCGTACTGCAGGTAATTGCAGTAGTATAACATAACCCCCGAACTTTACTAGATCGATCGTTTCGGAAAGGGGACATACAATTTATCGCAACTTTGAGGTCGGTAACACCTGAGTGCAACCAGCTTTCCGTAGGTAGTAATAGGTCCCATGCATGTGGCTCTTGACGTAGCCGCCGTTCGAGATGCTTGTTCAGGAGACCTTGCGCACCAGTGTACATGCAGAAAAGTTTCCATGTTTTAAGCACTGAATTGTAGGATAGATGTATTGGATAAAATGTTTTGCTGACCGGGAGAAGGTCGGCACCTATTCATCTTTTGGTGGGGCATGACGAAATTATCTATGTCCGCTTCATCGGTCCCACAATCACCTCTCTTTTTTTAGATATTATATGTGGTGTGTTTGTCAGTTTTTTTGGTTAGTTGCTTGCAGTTATTCGAACCCCATTCGTAAGTGCTCTAAAATAGTGGCTGTGTTCATTTGTTTGTTTAGCATATGCTGTTTTGATCCGGAGCTAGAAAGGAAGGCTGATACTGCTTGTGAATCATTCCTCTACTACCATTGCTGATGTTTGTCTAGATTTAAGGAGCACATTCATAATATCCGATCCATAACCCTTGTAGTTCTGCGATCGATGCGGCCTTGAGTTTGATTGCGCTATGACGTTTGTCAGGATGAAGGTCTCGCGAATGTACCACCATTATTCCTGGTCGTGAGTGGCCGCTTTGCGGCCATTATATCTTGCAGACTCGGAAACGCCATGTAACAGGATAGTCTAATGTATGAATTCCTTCCTATTTTCGTCTAAGTAATGCTTCGCCTGTCTGCGTTTGCTCCATGGAATATCCGGGAATATGAGGATAGAACATGACCCATTCTGGAGGCGAGTTGTCGATAATAGGACAGCTTCTGCTTCAATGGCGGAAGTCAGCACAACGCTGGAGAACTCGTTTCACGTTAGTGCTCTGCGTTTCGGTTACAAGTCACGCGTTTCTGATTTGGTTTCCCGCATCCGGTTTCGGATTTGGCAGTTACTGTGGCCAGTCACAGGAAGCCTGCGTCTACAGAGTGTCCATGGGTGGCTTGCGCTGTAACACCCGCGGTTCCATCCACACACCCAACGTCCAATGTAAACCCGAAGGGGTAAGACTGGGATGCATCTGGATGGAAGCAACGTTTCATCAACGAAGCCGGCCCATATTCCTTCACAGGCAAACACAAGCACGCTGTATTTGGGGATCAAGCGCACACAAGGCGGTGGCCTAACCGTGGTCCGCTCCACAATGAATGCATGGAACCACTCTTTGATCCTAACACATTCACAGGGATCGTGCAACCCCGTCACCTCCAGCAATTGTCTCCTAGAGCCAGTATGGACGAGGTAGTTAGTAATAGACATATAAGTACCTTGTCTGCATACACATCAAGCGCAACCACATGGGGCACATCAAGCAACAGCTAATCACTTGAAAAGACAAGATGAAATAAAATAAATTGGATAATGAATACAGATACGACGGCATAAGCCTTCACTAAATGGCGTATAAAATAACTTGATTAGGAACGACCGCGCGATAAGTTCAAGATGTCAGCAAATATACTTTAAGGAAATGCCACAAACACGAAAATACAACCAAAGTTAAATTTAAGAGCATAGATACAACATCTGTGGTGTCACGTATGGAGCACCACTAGTTTACTTCATCAAGTTGTTTTCCTTTTAACGAATTTGACGTCGATTCTGGAACGTTGGTCAGATTACCCTGGTATACTACGTGCAACTCTGGTTGAGCTCAAGCGACTGGCTAGTCTGTATACAGCTGATGGAGATGGTTTGCGTACTACTTTGTCTTCTTCATTTACTAAGGGTCTCGGGGGTGTGGCCAAACATGTTGATATTAGCGATTCGAATAAAGCCGATACATCTTGTACATAGTGCATTCATACGCATGCTGAACACTAACTGTCGGTTTCATTACCATTATCCTATGACGAAAGCCCGCATTTTGTGTCCGCCAGATAAAATATCAGCTGATAAAGCTTAATTTATTTATGGCTGCTATTATCTCACGTGCGCTACGTAAGGAGTTTTTGCATGGAAAAATCATGGACCTGATTTGTTCTGACTGTGTTCTCATTAAGCCACATTTTTCTAAGAATATAAATGGCACAAATAATTCTTGTTTTGAGGACTAAGCCAGGTAATATGTGCAGCCTCTCAAGAAACGATATGGTTTGTTTTTCTTTCCCGTAGCTAGCAACTAATCTTGTTCCACTTTAGCTAATCAAACTATAATGTTGATATGGTTGAATGAAGTTAATTTTTACCCTTTTTTGCAATGTTTCTATTAGTAATCCGCAGTGAAACCAATTGAAACGCGAGGCTTTGTGGAATGCTTATAAGGATATTTGCCCGGGGACACTTCATTGTTTGCTGAGGTGTTGCTTTCCATATTTCGGTAACACTAAGAATCCAAAAGGCATAAATTTACCTTGTTTTGAGGACTTGATAGAAAAATATGGGTAGTCTACTCATAGATTTACTTTGCTCACCGATTAATACTTCCTGTCGAAGCAACGAGACAACAAATTGGTACCGCATTTTTGTGTGACCCATATGTGTGGCGTCCTCACGCACGCACGCTTGCTTTATATTTACGCAATTTTCTTAAGCGTTTCTTGCTTCAGGAAGACCAATTACAGCCAATTCGTTCGCGTTTCAGCTTCACCGATTGGTCCAGAATTTTGGGACCGCAGTAAGTGCTTCACACTCTCCTATTGATTTACTCTGCAAAAGTTGTCTGAAACAATCTTTTCAATCGAAAGCTGAGAGAATTACACCTAGGTCGGCCATTCTAGATGAGTGTTTTAACCAGACAATTATTGTGACTTGTTGGTATAGCAATGGTTCAGTTGTGCTAATGGGAAATATTGAGAGATATAACGCTGTTGTCTCACGATCTGAATGAACTTTCACTCCAACAATGCGCTTCAGCTTTGTGTTCATTTGCAGGTCTTTCAAATGTCAAATGTCCTTTATTAAATATTAAGGCCATGATTTCGTTAATTATTCACACACCTAGCGTATTAAAATCATGCAGCGAGACGCATGTTTTGCTGAATAACGGATATTTATGAGCTTATGCGCAGTAGTTTCTAACCTAGTTGCTGCTGATAATGCTTTAGAATACCAGTTTATGTTATTTTTTACCATAGACAAAATGCATTTTATTGCCTCTGGCTACGGCTGCAAACGAAGTAAAAACAAATTCCAAATGAACAATGGTGTAGATATAACTTGAAACTCGCTGAGTTTATTTATTCAGTGCTTTTCAAACACGCTCACATTTAATCAATTTGCGGTGCCTTCGATTTAAAATGTTTCCCTTAATTTTTATATGTCACTAAACTGCTTTGTGTTCGCCAGTCACATAAGCCGTCGATTGTTTCCCTTTCCACAAAACACTCAGCACTGCCCTGGGATTTCCATCTGTAGTGGGTATTGTAAGACCGCGCGCAGAGTGTCCATTCCCATCCTGCTCATCCCCGGAGCTGAGTTTGCACGCTCTCATAAAAAATGTTGCATGGGATTATTGTCGTATTCTGTCTGAATTAAATTGTCGTGGCTTCCACATTGGATGTTTGGTGTTGCAAATGATAATGCGAATTCAATTCTTTGGTATGTTGTTCGCACTAGTTGCACATGTGGACGGCTCTGTGCACTTGAACTATGCACTAGCTCGCTGATTATTTGCATATAGAAAAGTGTGGTGAGGTTATTGAATCCAATCATGGCGTTGCTCAGTACAAGCATCATTACTATTATAGATGAACTAATGCGAAGAAGAAGCCATAACCAACCCTTTATACATGACGGCATTAAGCTACCCTGATATGTAATGCTGTCCACAAAACATTATGGTCCCTCTCACCATTTTGACAGCTCACAAGACAAATATGAGGTGACTACGGAATGAGATTTTCCCGGATATTTCATGCCGGGTTGAAAACTTTCAACTCGATAACAACACCAAATTTGGGATAAGAAACACGTTTCTTGTTTTACTATCTCTCGATAACGAAAATAAAACGCATATGTTGGATAGGCTCTATATTTATAGTTACGCGACCACAGTAATATTTTCTGTATAAAATATTATTTTCCCCCAAACGGGATACCGGAATTAGTTGTGTCCACTCTGGGAATGCTTGGTAGATATAGGAATAGTGGAGCTGTGCTTTTATAACACAGCTGGGTTAGTTTTCGTGATAGTTCAAGATCGGTGGTTTTCTTCCACCATGGAAATAGCAGTGGATCAATGAAATGTAAAACCATCAAATTTTAAGCAGGTGAGCCTTTTTCCTGATCCGGTCTACAAATGTGTGTGTATGCTGAGCTCGAGTAAGTAGGTAAAGATCTTCTCTTCTTTGGAGACGGGTAAAGGGAAACCACTATCGACAAATCCGCAAGGAAGTGACCAGCCAGATGGTCAATACATATTTCCTAATAATTGCATGAATTAAGTGAGGTTCTTCGCAGTCAGTTTACAAATCACATAGTCGTCCACATGCCCGAAAAAGCACTAGACTGCAGTTTCAGCCTGTTGGGCTTCATCAGTAGTGCGCGTCCATCGGATCCATCAGGATTCGAACCCATGACCACCAGCGGATTGAACCGCCAGTCAGCAGCTTATGCCACTGGGCCACGGGGGACAGCTTCGGACCGTCGTGATTTACAAGCTAACTGCAATGTAGCGCGTCTTATCCTCCATTGCCATGCAAGTTGCGAACGTAGCAGAGGACAAGGTTGGCCCCGAAAGACACGACGTACACTAACAGTAGCTATGTACGACCTAGCATTTAGAAACTGACTGCGAAGAACCTCACTTAATTACATCAAAAATCCCCTACTTATGAGTACAAGTACAAGAATATTAGGTTTTCACAATAACACATCTATTACTCTTTTTTGATCGCAAATTATTGTATCGTTATGCATCAAGCACATTATGTATGATAGCTTGAACTAAAATTTAAATATCTCTGCAGTTCAGTAAGTTTAACAATGACTGACTACATTTTTGCAATACTCGACCAGTTGCAATTCTTCTTCTTGCGAACTGGACAGCCTAGTGAGCCATTTGTTTCCAAGTGCTAGTAATAAGTAGACTGTAAATATTACGTTTTGGTTAAGTCGTAGATATATTTGGCATGCTAAAACAAAGTGTTAAACAGCATTACGTTTACAAGGAATCAGACTTTATAATTCTACCAGTCTGCAAACGGCTGATAGTTTGCTGATTTGAAGCAAAATGCAAAGTCGATTATAATGCATATGGATACTACTAAAAACCCAAAAGTGTGTGATTGCGCGTCGACCCTCATTAGACAGGCACCAATTTTACCTGATCATGCTCCCTTCTGCCGACGGACTGAATGTAGAAAAGTATTCCTGTGAATCTTAAACGTCCACTAATTTAAGGTACTGAACTTTCTTTTCAGTATTTAACCAAGGCAATTCGGAACAGCAGAGAAGAATTGGTAAGCGGAACATTAATGGCAGTATCACTGTACGGTATCGCAGATTAGATCTATAAGCAGTTGCTTAATAGTCATGCCTCTTTTTGTGAAACCCTTCGTTTGTGATTCATATCCAGTCTACCTGACATGATTACTTATGCGATTTCTCTCATTATCCAAATATTTCTTTGAATTCACGAGCGAGATATTTTTCATAATGCACTACTCTACGTAGTCCATAGTCAACTTTTGACCACTAATCGGTTACTTTTATCTGCCAATTTTATAGCCGTCAACCCAGTTGTTCAAAATGTGACACGAGATGAGGTGGGAAAGCTGTCAGGTAAGCCACTTTCTCGTTTTGTCAATACATGTATATGCTGCGCTGCAAGTCATGCTAAAATGTTCAGATCGGTACATATCTTCATATGCCTTACCATAAATATACAGTGAGACAAAGGCTGATTTTGCTTTGCACTTTACACTCAGTGTAGTTTTCGTCTTTGTTGCCATGCGTAGCTCACATTCCCTTGTCATACGCTTTTGTTTTTTAGCAACAGAGATCACACAACCGCCTAAGAAGGGGGGTAAGTTGACGGTAATGCAGACAGCCATGTGTTGCAGCATCTAAAGCATTTATCGAGAATTAAGAACCGTTTCGACATGTATGTTTCCAACAAGTGTTACGGCCTGCGTCTTAGTAAGTAGGACATAATCAATGCGGCTTACAGGGATAAAATGCTGAGCATTTACTAACCACTGAGAACTGTATGTTTTATTCCTTCGAGTTTCGATTAGATTTTGGATTTGCAAGGTTCCAATGAACTTCCACTTGACGACACATAATTGACCGAGAAAGACAGTTGCTTTCCCTTATTAAGTCATTTATGGAACGACGTGGGAAAAGCATGCGGATGTCGTTGCGTTGAAGTTTTACCTCCTACCTTATAATGCGCAATCATTCAAAGTGGCTGTGGAGCAGCATTCTAAATTGAAAACTACCGCGGGCTGGCGGACGAATGAATGATTATAGGCCAAATAAAGTATGGAAAAGATACATTTTAGATGGCAAAATATGGCTAACTGCGATTTCAGTTACGCAAATAAATCTGCAGCATGTATGAAAGTATTAGTGGGTACCAGTTAATTGACAGCATATCGGCCTCAACCATTGCTAATTCGTTCTTATGCACGAGGACTCCGATGCAAGGCATGACGAAGAATTCTGTGGTAATCTTTGCTCTGGTTATCTTATCTAGGCCAATTTGTTTCTTTGCGGACATTGAGCATACAGTATCAGCCCGACTTTGAACATCGATTAATTCTTCGACTAATTTATATCTCGTTGCTTATCACTATTTCTTATTCATATGCTTCTTATATAATTCACTACGTTAATATAGCGCACTTTACATTGACTGCCCTCGATTATGTTTGCTATTCTGTGGTATTCGGTACACCATAGCAGAATTCGAAAGGACCTGTGCTACTCGCAACTAATATCCACGACACCGTCAATTATGAAAGTTGCTGCGCTCACTAACGTTCTGGTCTATCGCATTTAGTAATGGATTAGTGTAGACCTACATTAGGATATAATTTGTTGTAAGTGGATGCTTGAATTGAGTGAACCCCTACATTCTATGCCACATTTACAGATTTTGCCACAACAGATAAGAAGAAGAAAAAGAAAGGTGAGTTTCTGCTAGTTAGTTCGACAGGATTTTTCTAAGCATTGGCAATGTCGAAATAACCAGGCACTTACTTCCCTGTTGAACGGTATCATGCTTTGCATGTATATGCGATACGTGGTCGCGACCTGATAACGATAATTTGTTTCGAGACATAAAGTGAGTCTGATTCAGGTCACGCATGAAGCTGATGAAATCAACCCATCATCATAACACAGCTTGTTACGTTAAAATCATGAGTGGTTGCGACTACAGCTTGTCAGTGTGGACTGCTAACTGGTTTGGAATCCATCCAGGCAAATAGTGTGAATCAGCTCAGAATCCTGCAACCGTCGATAATAGCAAGTGACCCATACAATAAACCTTGTGATGTTCCTAAAATTATTCGGTCTAACAGGCCCCACTGTATTGTTTTTTCACTGGGTGGGTTGGCAGCACAAAGCATAGGGTCGAGGGAAATATTAGGATAAAATATTAGTGTGAAATTACTTGGCATACAATTTGTTGTGAGTGGATACTTGAATTAAATGAACCACTTATTTCCATGCCACATGTAAAGATTCGGACAGAAAAGAAAGAAAGGAAAAGAAAAGTGAGTTTCTGCTAATCATTGAGACAGCAATCTGTTTAGAGTGTACATGACCGAAGTAACGCGGTACTCACTTCCCTGTTGAAGGAGATCGGGTTTTGCTTGTACGTGTTACACAGCTTTTACTTTTATTTAATGTGTGAAGCACACTTAATGTCAGTGTTGGTATTTACAGCAGGACCATGAAGCAGTTAACTGCAAAACGATATCAGGACACGTAATAGCGACCACAACTAGAAGTTGTCTTTATTCCCTCGATTTGTATGATGGTGCATTTGTCATTCAGCTCCATGCCCGTTTCAACTTACCGCTTCCTTATACAATTCATCTGATTCGTGATATAATGAGTATATTTTGGAGTTTGCGATTGTGCGTCACTCCCGTTTGATTACACGCGTTAGAATCTGTAGTTCACTCAAAGAACTGGACATATGCGAAAGATCTGAATCTGTATTTGGCGCAGGTTTTCAATAAAATACAATCAAATTAGGTTTTAAATATTGCAATAACTGAATATCAACGTTTGTGTTTGTGCTACGGAAAATTGACTTGACAAGGGACTACTGAATCATGGCCGCAAATTTATGCCTGATAATATCCCCAACCAAGTAGCCACGGAGGCGATACATTATGTGCAGTAAGTTTGGCATTCTTTAGTCGAAACGGTGTAGTTTAATATAAGTAAAAATATCGCTGCTACATGGTATTTGAACGCGCTTGGAGATATCATGTAGCCATGTAATTACATGTTACCCCGCGACTTGAAAATCTTGAGAGGAGTAAGGCTGAATGCAACGACAGTCATTTCTATCGCTTATTGTGGATTGAAAATATGACTTCTGAACTATAACCTAAACTTTACTTTCACGATGGATTTCCCGTGCATTTGTTCTTTTCTAATACTTCTGGGTCTTGCTAGCACCGACGGGATGGAACAAGGATATCCAGCCAGTATGTTTCAGCTTGTGAAAATAAAACAGTCCCAAAGCTTTTCGTAGGAAAGAGCGACGCGCGTATGCAGTAGAAACACGAATGCTCCAAAAATCTGGAACCATTTTGGGTGATTCATTTGATTTATACTGATTCCTATTCTTCAAACCTAAACCATTGCGTTGTTTTCAGAGGATAAGAAGACGACAGAAATTCCCACCACAATGCAGCCTACGCCACATCCTTTACCAGGTAATGAGAAACAAATGATATCATGCACGTTACGGTTAAGGAACATCTGTTTAGAAAGCGTTTATTACGTCCGACAAATGCTATATTCTATCTCGTGCTCTGAATTTTAAAACAGTAAAATGCAGGCTAAATAAGTGAGATTACCGGCAGCTTATAAATTTTGAGCATGCAGTTTCAGCAACTACCAAATTACGCATTAGAAATCTTTCTGTCAATTTTCGTGTTCGTCCGAAGTTAAATGAAAATTAAACGACCATTCATGGACATATTCTTTGGGTTACGGTTGCTAATATTTTCAGTATCATCTATTCCTCACATGTGTATTGGTAGAAAATAACAAGTCACATGGCTGTTTCGTAATTGCATTTTGACATGAAATCTTAAACTGCATCGACGTGGCATATCAACATATAAAACTGTAGTTCTATTCAGATGGACGCCGGTGACGTGGATTTTATCCTAATTTCTACATTAATTAACAGTACGCTAGCCTCTAACAGTCAGTCATAAGTGACATAAATTTTGCATCGCATAAGGAATTTCTGCTTCATCACACCGGTCATGTTTAATGAGACATCACCAACATACTAACAGGTATGGTGCGTTAATTTGGTGAGAGTTTTGCATACCTAATCCCTGCTATTTTAGCTGAAGTCAAGAAACCGTCACAAGCTCAGGAACCCCGTAAGTCTGACGAGTTGTCATATTTGTTTTACCCCACATATGGTCATTACCGTTTAATTCATTAACACAAAATAGTGCTTTAGGAAGAGTCACTTAATGATTGCTGACAATATCGATACAATGCGCTTGACCAAAAATCACCGCTAGATCCTTCCAATAAGCCACAGGCATGCAGGTTGGCGATAGCAAGTGGCAGCAACATGCAGAATTGTTAGTCACCAGCTGAGCCAAAGCATGAGTGAATGGTCTTAAATCAAGTGCAGTTCCAACGTTCACGTGAAACTGTAAACGAACATGTCGCAGTTAACCATCACCTAGCTTAGAATGTCGCTGTCATTTGTCTGTAAACTATGCTGCTAACAATTTTATCCGAAGCAGAACGCTCAACTGCATCGACAGCAGAGATGGTATTTGGAAGCAACATACACTAAGCCCATGTGACAACCCAAGGCAAAATTACATACCAATCAGAAACTACTGTAGAGGAGTTATTAGGGCAGACAATTAAGAATGACAGGATAACATGTTACCCAAGTTGGCGCGATACAACCAACAGCTATATTTGTATGTGAACGAGAACAGAAAGGTTATAACTGGTATACAACCACACAACAAGACCAGTGGCTTAACAACTACTGCTGTGTGTACCGTGAAAGCTCTGCTCCTGTAGTTTGTATGTGTGACTACGAATATTACGGAACTTTTTCTCTATCAAGTCCCAACAAATGCCGTCTGTTTATTTAGTGTCACCTTTAATCCAGAGGCAGTCGTGAAAACATTGCAATCTCTCCAGAATAACAGTGTTCCGGAAAGCAACAAGGTCTGACCAAATGTACTTAAAACGCTTGCTTCTACCAAAGCTGTTTATGTGGTTGCTTATTTTCGTGTCTGTTTGACTACCATACACTCCCATCAATGTTGAAACGTGGAATCATCACACCGCTATACAAAATAGGCAAGAGGTAGGATCCAGCCGAATACCGACCTATTTCGCTCCTACCTGTTTTAATAAAGGTGACGAAATCCGTAGTCGCAGAATAACTAAAACGATAGTTTAAAAGTGCGAATGATTTCCAATGTCTAACACGGTTTCAGAGGAAGACGATGTTGCCTCAACAACCTATTACTTGCCCGGAGTTAATGGACCAGTGCAGCTGATGTAGGATTACTCATAGATATATTTTCCATTGTATTCGACAGGGTCACTCATTTTGTTCTCCTACAGAAGCTTGCTGTCAGTGCTATCAACGCTTACCTGCTTACCTGGTTGAAAGATTATGAACAACACCGGACGATTAATGTAAGCATAGTTAATCTTCACTCCGAAAGCTTGTGCGTTTCCAGCGGTGGACCTTGAGAATCCGTCCTCGGCCTGATCCTGCATTTATTTTACATAAAGGACCTCCCAGGAAACATCTAATCTCAGATGTAGATATTTGCATATGATGCTAAAATATAGAAGGCAATGGTTAAACCCCCAGACCGTGCTTATCTCCAGATCGGTCTGGACCAGATTAACGAATGGGCAGAAAGGAAATAACTCCCACTAAACGGTGCAATGCACTACCAGCTAATGGTGCGTAGCAAATTCAGCAATGCATATCTTTTGAGGCAGCATATTTTGCAACAAGTGACTACTGAATAAGAATTATGCGTAATCGTCCAAGTCAGTCTTGGTCATTTGTTCCAATGGTCAAAAGTAGCAAAGGTGATGAACTTGAACTTGAGACTTTTAAGACAAGCTCTCGGTACTGTCAAACAACGGCCAGTACAATTGTTGATAAACACATCTTTGTCCCCTGGTTGAATATGCTATTTAGGCATGTTGGGCGTGGCTAGAAACAGATATTCGTCTCGTGGAGCAATTGCAAAGAAGGACTGCCATGGCAACAGTGGACCATCCGTCTCAGCTACGAACTGCGCCTTCGTTTGCTTGGTGTCTTCTCCTCGTCCTCATACGACGGATACTGACAGAAAACGTGCACGCATGTGCATCACGGCTAACCCTAGCCTCGTGCAAACAATGCCGAGGCCACAAAATAAAACTAATAACACAGCATGCCCCTTTTGATTGTAGGAAATAATTTTACTTTTAAAACCTGTTTACACTGGAATTCACTAACAACACATGTGGTGAACTTACCAGAACTTAAGATGTTCGTGAGACTGCTAGGCTTTCATCTTAGTGCTAAAAGCAACACAAAAGTATGAAAATTTGCCATACCTTTATTGCTGATGATTCACATTCCACGTTGGAAGTGTTTGGTTTTATTTTTCGAATGCATTTTCCATCCTGTTGGTCATGTAAATTTATGCTTTTGATCCCATAATACATTAAGCAAGTAATGCACTTCTGCAAACCAGGATTCCTAACTCTACAAATGTCTCCTTCCAAGGCTTCGAAAGTGTGTCACAAATGCATCTGAACTCATCTGGTGAGTCTAAATACACGGTAACGTCCTTGCATGCCTAAGTTCAACCGTATGGCAGCATGAACACCATGACCTAGAGCTTTTTGAAAAAGTTAATTACTCCGTTCAAGGAGCAGATCCAGCAAATGCCCTTTCAGGCGCACTCTATCAGCGATTACTTTTGCTCACAATTTACGATGCTGTGCGACATGTTTTATAATTCATCGAAAACAGTCGTGCTCATCCTGTATAAGTATCTTGAAATTATGGCTCATGTGTATTTGAGCGATGTCAAAAAGTGCTCAGCCCCATGAAGAATCCAAACATTTTAAGAAGGAAAGGCTTTTAGTAGCAATAATTTAAAATGTCGGTTGTTTTCCATAATCTTTATCGGTGAAGGTTGCAGTAATGAAACACTTATCCGAAGAGGCATACATTTTACCCCGTTTCATTGGTGCCGGAAACGGTAACTTGAAATTAGTTAGCAGAGGCATAAACGGAGCATGTAGACAGTCCGCTACATTCCAAAAATCCTCAGCGTGCGCTTGCGTCGCGCTTCTGGCTGAATTTGGGAAGCGAGTGCGAAATGATCGGCCAGCAACAAATACCAGCCTGCTTCAACGGAAGCAAACTATGCCGTCAATATGAGTAACCCGTGCAGCGGGATTCACTCACGCCGGCCGCAAACCAGCGGCAGAATAATGAGTGACCTAGACCTCCTAAATTAGAAAGCTGATCTATTCTGCTGAGTTACGTTGTCTACCGAGTTCTGGCCTTTTGTATTTCTTCCGTTGGCTGCGCTCGTGCCCGGGCATCCAGACAGTCGCCGTCTCACATGACAGGAAAGCGAGCAGAACAAACATTGGTAAATGGCAGAGAGCAGAGAGAAAGAAGCAGTGGTACAACAGTGGCGACGCGAGCTTCAAACGAACGCAGCATGGCAGTTAGCTCCGAACAACTGCAGGCAGTATTGCAGCATTTCAAAAATTCACAGAGGCAGCTGGTAGAACTTCTATCACAAAAATTATACACGCAAGTAGAATGGTAATCGCAAATAAAGCTAACATTTCAAAAAATTATTTCAGTATGCCATAGGTTGTTCAACTTGAATCATGGTAAAAATACGGTTGACAATTCGGAAGTCAGGGAACAGCTAAAATTCTGTCATACTGCCACTTCAAAACCTGATGTGCCCATCATACCCAAGAATTCAAGGTGATAATCAACAGCAGTCATATTATGCATGTCAATGGACACCATGCAGTCATACTCCAATATAGTCCAGAATGTTACAAAATTACCAGTGCTGCCCTGAAGCTCAATTCACTCACTAAACCAGTAACCAGCGCAACGCGCCTTGAGTCCAGTCGGACAGAGAGGCATTGCATTATCATGCGGGGGAAACGTGGACAGGGAGCGTGCGTCATTTCAAAATTAGGAACTTGGTGTACTGACTAGACTTCCGAGGATCGAGGATGTGGTCGACAGGAAGAGTGATCTGCAGAAACGGTTAGGCTATCCGCAACGTAACGTTAGGAAATGAGAAATGGGTCAGGCAAACCAAGCAGCTGAGGCGGAATAACTGCTAGACTTAAAGTCCTCAATAACCGTCATCCCTAACTAGAGATATCCTGCTAAACATGTTTTCTTTTGAAGACGAAGCTTGGTGGCTTCCTGAATCACAACATAGGATGCAAGCAGCAAATAACGCACAATACAAACCGGCAATAAAGCATGGACGACCACCATTGCTGCAAGTTGATACTTAAGCGATGACAAATGAATGAAACCGATTTCGAACGCTACGATGGCAGATTCGAATCCGAAGGGTAAATAGGCGTAAGTGGAGCATGTAGGCTGTTAGCTACATGCAAAAAATCCTTAGTGGGCGCGTGCCAAGAGCTTTGAGCATTCCGCTGAATTCGTGAGCCGAGTGATAAATGATCGGTCAGCAAACACCGCCCTGCGTCAACAGAATCGAACTAATCTGTCAATATGATAAATACGTATAGCAAGATTTACTCACCCTGGCTGAAAAATAGACGCAGAATATTGAGTAACCTAGACCTTCTTAATAAGCATGTTTCGGTTACCAATAAATATAGTTGATCCATACGGTAGATTTACTCTGTCTATCGAGTTCTGGCCTTTTGTATTTCTTCCGTTGGCTGGGTCAGTGATTGGGCAGTCAGACGTTCGCAGACACACAGTTCAGCAAAGGAAGCAGAACAACCAGTTGTCAGTAGCTGACAGAAGAGGGAAATAAACAGTGGTACAACAGTGGCGACGCGAGCTTCAAACGAATGCAGCATGGCAGTCAGCTCCGAACAACTGCAGGCAGTTTTGCAGCAGTTCGAAAATTCACAGAGGCAGCTGGTAGAACTTCTATCACAAAAATTATACACGCAAGTAGAATGGAAATCACAAATGAAGCTAATATTTCAAGAAATTATTTTAGTACACCAGAGGTTGTTCAACTTGAGGGATGGTAAAAATATGGTCACGAATTCGGAAGTTAGGGAAGAGCAACACTTCTGCCACAGTGCCACTTCAAAACTGATGTGCCCATCAGACCTAAAGATGCAAAGGTAGAAATCAACGGCAGGCAAATTACACATGTCAATAGACGCTAAGAAGTAGTACTGCAAACTGGTCCAGAATGTTGCAGAACTACCAGTGCTGCCCTGGACCTGAAATCAGTTACTAAATCAGTATCCAGAGGAACGTGCCTTGCGCCAAACAGGACAGAAAAACACTGCATTTATCTTACAAGCGTTGTCATGTGACGTAACATCCCACGCACAGCACTTACACGTTGCTAACAAATATAAACTAGACGTACGAAAAAGACCGGGTCGTGTCATCATGTTCAGGGTACGCTGCACTTTTGGACGCGAGGCACCGGTTCATTCCGGGTTACCGCGAGCGCCTCAGCAAATCGCAGACGCCACGAATTGGTATGACGCTGTAGAATTTTGAATGCCGCGTTTATCTCCATCAGATGACTTGAGGTCAATAAGTGCCTGGCGATTAAAATAACAGTGTCTTGTGTGCACATGCAATCTCGTTTTGAACTCGTTTCGGCAAGTGTTCTTTTATGCTGGAACTTAGGGTCCTGTCAAATCTGCCTAAGTGCCATGCTCCGTATTTATACACGAATCTGTATTTGGCGCAGGTTTTCAATAAAATACAATCAAATTAGGTTTTAAATATTGCAATAACTGAATATCAACGTTTGTGTTTGTGCTACGGAAAATTGACTTGACAAGGGACTACTGAATCATGGCCGCAAATTTATGCCTGATAATATCCCCAACCAAGTAGCCACGGAGGCGATACATTATGTGCAGTAAGTTTGGCATTCTTTAGTCGAAACGGTGTAGTTTAATATAAGTAAAAATATCGCTGCTACATGGTATTTGAACGCGCTTGGAGATATCATGTAGCCATGTAATTACATGTTACCCCGCGACTTGAAAATCTTGAGAGGAGTAAGGCTGAATGCAACGACAGTCATTTCTATCGCTTATTGTGGATTGAAAATATGACTTCTGAACGATAACCTAAACTTTACTTTCACGATGGATTTCCCGTGCATTTGTTCTTTTCTAATATTTCTGGGTCTTGCTAGCATAAACGGGATGGAACAAGGATATCCAGCCAGCATGTTTCAGCTTGTGAAAATAAAACAGTCCCAAAGCTTTTCGTAGGAAAGAGGGACGCGCGTAGGCAGTAGAAACACGAACGCTCCAAAAATCTGGAACCATTTTGGGTGATTCATTTGATTTATACTGATTCCTATTCTGTAAACCTAAACCATTGCGTTGTTTTCAGAGGATAAGAAGAGGACAGAAATTCCCACCACAATGCAGCCTACGCCACATCCTTTACCAGGTAATGAGAAAAAAAATGACATCATGCTCCTTATGGTTAAGGAACATCTGTTTAGAAAGCATTTCTTAATTCAGACAAATGCCATATTCAATCTCGTGCTCTGAATTTTAAAACAGTAAAATGCAGGCTAAATAAGTGAGATTACCGGCAGCTTGTAAATTTTGAGCATGAAGTTTCAGCAAATACCAAATTACGCATTAGAAATCTTTCTGTCAATTTTCGTGTTCGTCCGAAGTTAAATGAAGATTAAACGACCATTCATGGACATATTCTTTGGGTTACGGTTGCTAATATTTTCAGTATCATCTATTCCTCACATGTGTATTGGTAGAAAATAACAAGTCACATGGCTGTTTCGTAATTGCATTTTGACATGAAATCTTAAACTGCATCGACGTGGCATATCAACATATAAAACTGTAGTTCTATTCAGATGGACGCCGGTGACGTGGATTTTATCCTAATTTCTACATTAATTAACAGTACGCTAGCCTCTAACAGTCAGTCATAAGTGACATAAATTTTGCATCGCATAAGGATTTTCTGCTTCATCACACCGGTTTTGTTTAATGAGACATCACCAAAATTCTAACAGGTATGGTACGTTGATTTGGTGAGAGCGTCACATATCTAACCCCTGCTATTTTAGCTGAAGTCAAGAAACCGTCACAAGCTCAGGAACCCCGTAAGTCTGACGAGTTGTCATATTTGTTTTACCCCACATATCGTCATTACCGTTTAATTCATTAACACAAAATAGTGCTTTAGGAAGAGTCACTTAATGATTGCTGACAATATTGATACAATGCGCTTGACCAAAAATCACCGCTAGATCCTTCCAATAAGCCACAGGCATGCAGGTTGGCGATAGCAAGTGGCAGCAACATGCAGAATTGTTAGTCACCAGCTGAGCCAAAGCATGAGTGAAACGTCTTAAATCAAGTGCAGTTCCAACGTTCACGTGAAACTGTAAACGAACATGTCGCAGTTAACCATCACCTAGCTTAGAATGTCGCTGTCATTTGTCTGTAAACTATGCTGCCAACAATTTTATCCGAAGCAGAACGCTCAACTGCATCGACAGCAGAGATGGTATTTGGAAGCAACATACACTAAGCCCATGTGATAACTCATGGCAAAATTACAAAAGCATCAAAAACTACTGTACGTCACATACTAGCGCAGACAAGTACGACTGGCAGGATGACATGTTACTCAAGTCTAGGAGAAACAACCAACTGCCATATGGTTATGTGAACGATAACATAAAGGTTAAAACTGGTATACCACCACTAAACACGCCAGTGGCTTAACAGCTACTGCTGTGGATACCGTGAATGCTCTACTCTTGCAGTTTCTATCGGTGGCTACAAATATCACGGAGCTTCTTCTCTACCAATTCCCAACGAATGCCGTCTGCTTATTCAGTGTCGCCCTTAATCCAGAGGCAGTCGTGAAAACATTTCAGCTCTCCGGAATAACAGTGCTTCGAGAAGCAACCTGATCTGACCAACTGTACATAAAACGCTTTCTTCCACCAAAGCAGTACACCTTGCAGCGTTTTTCCGTGTCTGTTTGACTCCCTTACACTCCCACCTGAGCGGAAACTTGGTATCATCAAGCCGATATGCAAAGGAGGTAAGAGATGTGACCCAGCCAAATACCGACCTATTGCCTTTCTACCAGTTTAATCAAAAGTATGGAATCAGTAGTCGCAGATAAACTAACTCGATATTTTGAAGTTTTACAACTAATTTCCAATGTCCAACACGGTTTCGGACGAATGCGATCTCGCCTCATCAAACTGCTTCTTGCTCAGGATTATTGGACCCGAGCAGCTGATGAAGGAATCCCCTTGGATGTGAGTTACTTAGCTTTTTCTGTTGCATTCGACATTGTCAATCACTTGCTTCCCCTGGAAAAGCTTACTGCCTACCGTTATCAACGGTTACTTGCTCACCTGGTTGGAAGATTACATACAAGACCGAACAATCAAGGTACGAATAGCCAACACTCATTCCGAAAGCCTGTACGTGTCCATTGGTGTACCGCGAATATCCGTCCTCGGACTGCTACTGATTTTATGTTACTTAAATGAGGTCCAAGTTTATCCCCGATGCAGATAGTCGCAAATGACGCTAAAAGCTGGATAGCAATTCGTTTATCCGCTGGCTGTGCTTAGCTCCAGTACAGTTTTGACCGGATTAGGGCAACTGTAGAAAGGAACCAGCTCCCACTGAGCCCTGCAATGCGCCACCTGCTGACAATGAGTAGCAGCTTCAGCAACGCATAACTTTTGAAGCAGCACGTTTTGCAACAGGTGACTAGTGGACAAGAAAGTTATCATGGTCCAAGAATGACTTAGCAATTCGCTCCATCGCTCGAAAGCAGCGAATGTGGCGAACTTGAACTAGAAGCTTTTAAGGCGAGCTCTCGACACAAATGAGTGGCGGCTAGTATCATTTTTGACCAACACATGTCTTCGTCCCCAGGTTGAATATTCGTTTTATGCCTACTGTGCATGGCTACAAGCAGACATTCGTCTGGTGGAGCAACCTCAAGTAAGGGCTACCAATGCAAAACGTGGACTATCCGACCTCAGCTAGGAACAGCGACTTTGTTTGCTTGGTGCCTTCGTCTCAGTATACCAACCGCTTTGCAGGAATCTCGTCCTTAAATACCCAATACTGACGGAAAACTTGCACCTATATGCATCGGGGGTGACGCTGGACTCTTACAAACGATGTCAATGTCATCAAATGAAACCAGAAACGCGGCACACTCGATTGGATTGTAGGAAGTGCTTTTAAACCCTTAGCATCTGGTCACACTAGATTTCACTAATAATACATGCTGTGAACGCACCATACACTACGACATTTAAGAGGCTGCTAGAATTTCATATTAGTGCTAAACGCTACACAACAGTGTGATAATATGCGATGTCTTTACTACTGATGTTTCATATTTCACTTTGGAAACATTTGATTTTAATTTTCTTGTGCATTTTCCATCCTGTGGGTCTTGTAAAATTATGCTTTGTTATATCATCAGTCGCGAATGAATTCTTAAACAAATAATGCACTTTTGCAAAATATGATTACTAACTGTGCTATTGTTTCCATCTAAGGCTTCGGAAGTCCGTCACAAATGCATCCGAACGCATCTGGTGAGTCTAAGTACAAGGTAACGTCCTTGCATACCTAAGTTCAACGGTATGGCGGTATGAACTCTATGACTTCGTGTTTTCTGGGAAAGTTAATTACTCCGTACAAGAATCGACGGATCCGGCAAACGCTCTTTCAAGTGCACTCCATCAGCGATTACGTACACTCGCCATTTATATACCTTCGATGCTGTGTGGAATGTTTTATAGTTCCTCAACAGCAGTCGTGCTCATCCTGATGAAATATCCTCAACTTATGGTTCAAGTTTATTTTGGCGCCGTTACAAAGTGCTCAGCCTCAATAAGAATCTAAATATGTAACGAAAAAAGGGCTTCTAAGAGCAATAATTATGTAAAATCGGTTGTTTCCCATACTGCTTGTCGGTGAACATTGTAGTGAGAAGACAAAACTCCACATAAGCATGCACTTTGTACCGTTTCGTCGGTGTCGGAATCGGTAATTTGAAATCAAGCTCATAGAGGCGTAAGCGGAGCATGTAGGCTATCCGCTACATGCAAAAATGATCACCGGTCGCTTGCTGCTTGTTTTGACCATTCCGCTGATTTTTGGAATCGAGTGAGAAATGATCGGCCAGCAAATACCAGCCCGCGTCAACAGAATGGAACTATTTCGTCAATATGATTAATCAGTGGAGCGAAATTCACTCACATTCGCTAGAAGCTAGACACAGAATAGTGAGTGACTTTGACCACCTAAATTAGCAGGTTTCCTTTACCAATACATAGAGTTGATCTATCCTACAGATTTAATCAGTCTACCTAGTTCTGACCATTTGTATTCCTTCGCTTGGCTGGACGCGTGACTAGGCAGTCAGACAGTCGCAGTCTCACAGGGCAGCAAAGCAAGCGATACAGACAGTTGTCAGTGGCGGAGAGCAGTGGGAAAGAAGCAGCGTTATCTCGAATGCACAATTCTTACACAATGCACAGAAATATGAGAAAAGACATATGAAATACACCGGATCGTGTTATCATGTCCAGGGTACGCTGCCCTTGACAGACCTTCACTTCTGGACGCGAAGCACTAGTTTATTCAGGTTTATTGCGACAGCCTCAGAAAATCGCAGAAGCTGCGAGTTGGTGAGACGCTGCGGAATTTTCAAAAGCAGCTTTTACCTCCATCATAAGTCCTGAGGTCAATAAGTGCCTGACGATTGAACATAACGGCGACTTGTGTTTATCTGCTGTTTGACTTCAGCTATCTCGCCTCGAACTCATTTCGGCAAGTGCTCCTTCATTCAGGAACTCAGAGTTCTATCAGTTCTGCCTATGTACCAGGCAGCGTATTTATACAGGAATTGTCACTATTGACTAGGTGAAAGCAGCAAGGGGAGATATCTGTGTAGCTGTATCTAATGTCACTTGGGGAGTGCGCTCGACACTTTTTATATTTGCAAATGTTTGTCCAGGAAATTTTTAATCACGACACCGACCTTGCCTCAAAAACGTGCTGCGGCATTTAGTTCCAAACAGTTCCCACTCTCCATTCGAAAGTGAGTTGGTGAGGAACCCGCTGCAAATCCGGCACTACTTGCTTGTACCGGTGTCCTCGTGTGCTGCTTGCTGTGCGCAGCTGAAGCCGCTGCTTCAACACAGGGTAATCACACAAATGTAACATCCGGTGGGTCATGTTGAGGTCAATCCGCAATAGACGATAAACTAGGGTGTAAAGCGCTAGTTTATTAATTCTGTCTTAATACGGCCCACCTGGTAAATTGGGAATCAGCCTGGTGGCCACATGCTGCACTCGCTCTTTCTTTTTACCTTTCCCACAGTGAAAGGATAATACACCGGAGAGCTATATTCTGCCATAGGTCGAATTATTGAGGCGAAAAGGCAAGTGGCCATCTCTACTGACCAAGTGTTGCAGCTGCGTCTGAGCGCCCAAAGCATACGAAGGCTGTGTTAGGAAAGCCAATTCATGTTGTCCATGGACGTTAGGTCGTAGCGGGAGAATACATCTTGGTCTCGCAAGAATGGCGCGGGATGCAATGGTTGACCTGCTACCGTGACGTTTCCACTGTGTTTAAACTTATTCAGCCTTATGAATTGCGACTTGACTAGGTTGATCGGAAGGTTGAGCTCTGCAGACCACGTGAAGAGGCGGTCGAGGTCCAGCTGAAGCAAGTCACAGTAATTGGGTGGGCGGATTTCTCTCCACACCTTCAAGTCATCAGCGAAAAATGCACAATGTGAATGGATTTGCTGACGCACATCGTTTACATAGAGCAGAAACAAAATCGGCCTCCGTACAGTGCCTTGGGACACGCTACTGCTCGATGTATACCAGACGCTCGAATGGTTGTCGACATGAACCCTTCACATTCGATCAACGAGGAAGTGCTTACTTAATCTGTACAGCGAGCCGCCAACACCGCAAATCCTCAACCCATCGAGAAGCACGGTATGACTCATCTTGTCAAAAGCCGCATTCAAGGCAATGTAAATGACGGCGACCAACTTGCCTTGGTTCAGTGCTTGCAACCATTCTTGCCTCCCAAACAGTAGGTTCGGGTTCACGAGTGAAATTTTACGAACCCAGCAGGATTAAAGAGGCTTTTTTTACTTGAAAAACGACAGAAGACTATTCTTCACCATCTTAAACATCTTAACTAAACCAGTGCTCAGACAGGTGGGTCGGTAACTATCCACTTAGCTTGTGTTCCCACCTTTACGTATTGGCTTTACGACTGAATATTTTCAGTCGTCCGGTAATTGTCAAGTAGATATTGAGCTGTTGAACAGCTCAGTTACAGAAGACGTGATGATGGCCGATAAGAACTTGCGAATCAGAGGGTGGATTCCTACTTGCCCGGCATACGTCGTCCCGTCAAGTCTTGGCAGAATCTTGCGTACACCTCAATGCTGCACTCCAGGCTGTTTATTTCAACGGGAGCCACTTGCAAATACGAAAGCAAAGTGTGTTGCGAATACGGACGCGGGATCTGTGCACGAGGTCAGCGGTTGTGTACCTGAGTCCTTTAACACTGGCACATTGCCTGCAGGCATAAAGCGCCCTTCAGTTAGATGATGATCTTCCTGCAAATATTATTGTACCGGTTACCAACTGCTCTTTGCGACTTCGACGCCTTTTTCGCGTTCTTGTGAAGGTTGCGCTGCACCTTGTACGCCAGTTAATTCGTATCAGAGCAAGATAACACGAACCTGTTCCATATTCTGCGTTGTCGTCGTGCCAATTTGCTGTACTCCTGGCGGAACCAACGCGGACTAACTGGCGCGACTTTCCTATACTTGGGGTATACGAATTTTCTCCCTCTCTATTGATAGTCCAACAGGTTTCGACAACGGATCCTCTAGTTATGACCAGTCCATTCGGCCAGGTACTCGAGTGAGGCCATTTAAGTCTGCCTTTCCATAGTCGAAGGCTGCCTCTAGCGGAGGAGATTACGGCATCGACAGTCCCATAATGGCTATGATCATCAAGTGGTCACTCGCTCCCGGTTGGTTGATGCGTTGTGTGGCCCCAATTTCAAATAGTAACACCGCAAACTTCCAATGGCCAGTAAGAAGTTCAGCCTCAGATCACTGGGTTCGGGGTAATTTGATATGTAAAACAGTGGGTCCCCTTCAGCCATTTAGTCAGAGCAGTGAGAAGACATATATTTTGATATGTTAACATTTCGATTGTTCTCATCAGTCGCAAAACACAACACAAGCGGGATTCATGGACAGTTATATACAGGGGGAAAAGGTTGATACACAAATCCAAATGTTAAAATCAAGACCACGGTAACTTAATGGATTTTCTCAATAGTTTCTGTGCACACAACACAGGTTGATAAGCCCTAATTAACAAGGCCTCACTGATTGCTAAGATTAGCGGATTGTTGTTACGTACCAACACCTTGAACGCAGTCTCCGGGTTCACCTGTTGTCGGGTTGCCAAGAGATGCTTGGTGATAGACGATGCGGGACTCCGGTTCATCCTCGGATCCACTCCGTTTTGTTGCATCATCAGTTGTTCCAACCACCTCGGCACGTGTTCAGCTACTCTCTGAGCTAACTGACGGTCAGTCCTGCCTATGTAAATGTCACCGCAACCGCAGGTGAACTGGTAAACGACGTGAGAGGCCGAACTGACTGATGAGTTGCTCTGACGGTCATGAAGAACAAGGCTTCGCGCTGTATGAATGAGTCGCAACTGGGCGGTCGCGTAGGTGCGCGTAACGGCGGACCGGAGTTTATGTCGGATATCATTTGATACGTGGTATCCTTTGAACGGCAGGAATGAGTAAACATTCTTTTTCTCTGCGGTTAACACCGGTATTTTCTCCTTGGGAGGCCTGCTGTGTATTTGAACGAACTTCTCAGGATACCCATTCGACACCAAGGTTTTGAACAAAAATTATTCTTCAGCTTGCAACATTTCGGGGCTGCATATTCATCTGGCTCTGTAGAAAAGCGTTTTCACTAGGCCACGTTTGTATACGACCGGGGCAAAGCTGGCAAAGTGGAGGTACTGCCCATTCCAAATTGCCTTGCGATGAACCGTACGCTGCAGTGTACCATCAGTCCGTCTCTTAATGAGTATATCCAAAAATGGCAGACTATCATGTTGCTCCAACTCATGGGACACCGATAGGTTTGGATGAATTGAATTCAGAGCTTCCAACAGCCGCGCAAAATGTTCGTCGGTGGTGAAGACTAGGATGTCGTCCACATACCGCTTGTACAACGTAGCTTCACAAATGCTGGCAGTAACTTGTCTTTCTATCAAACCGAGAAAAATGTCTGCTAGTACTGGTCCCAGAGGGCTACCCATGGCGACGCCGTTGATCTGTTTATAAACAGTCCCCTCAAACTCGAACCGTATATTTTCCGTGCACAATAGAATCATATCCCTCAAATACTCCAGCGGCAGGCCAACAGACATGTTTTGACTCGCGATGAAATCACACAAATTTTCAACCGTCTCACGTAGAGGCACGTTTGTGAACAGGGAGTCGACATCTATTGAGTACATGTGCTCCGCACCCAGCGACACATTTTCCAGTGTCTCGGCCAATTCAAAGGCATCCTTTAGAAATATGTAGTCAGGAGTTTGCGTACTGGCTCCAACATTTTCGTTTGGATATATGTGACACTGTACTATCCTGCTATCGAATATCATTAAGTCTATTTCAGAAAAATAAAGGCAGCTATTTCCTTCTACCTTTGCAGTAAGACAGATAATTAATGGGATCGGTTAGAAGCCTAGGTAAGATCTACGATACGCTGTGTAGGCGAAAACAACATTCATATATATCATCAGCGCTAGAAGCTAAAACTTGTGATGTTTAAAGTGAAACTCTATTATTCAACATATAAATATCAGCCAGTTCCGCCCAGGCGGAGGATTCATCATCACGCCATTTCGCTGACTTTAAAACTGCCCATTAAAAACATTGGACACTAGACGTGTATATGTACCGACATGCCCTCAAAGATACGTGGGTAAGCCAATATTCATCCCAGCTCCATCAACGTATTTGCAGAGGTAAATAACTTTCTTAAATATCAACGCAATTGATACGACATTCAAGGTACACGTGGTCAGACCCGAGGCTTTTACCTCTTGTATTGCGCCTACAATTTCAAAACAGTAAATCACGCTGTGAGCTGCAATCCGCTTTCGGGAGGACTCATATCTCTCAACTGGCCACCGTGCGGTACAATGGTATGTGATGTCCTTCATTACGAAAACCCGTCACCGCGTAACATTCGTCTCATAAGTTTTTTGGGTAGATCGCAGTCAGATTAACCGTACCTATAGGAAGCACATAATCAAAAGCCACCTTAGTTGTAGGGGTCTAAATGTTTCGCTATTTAAAGCGGTTCGATTTATGGCTCTCGGACTTGTTTGTCATGTCTTTCCCGACTTATCTGTTGGAACACGTTGCGGATTTCACCAATATAGTGTTTAACTCATAAGGCAGTCCAACTAGTTTCTAATGAAATACCAGAGCTCCTTTCTTGTCTTCAAAGCAAGACGTGTTCATTGGTAGCAAGACGAGTGAACGTCTGAATGTGCTCATGTCCCAAGGGCGTTATGTGGTATTGGTGCAGACGATATTGAAAACAGACGTGCACTAGTGATGACCAAATTCATGGTAGCGTAAATTGGGATGCGGGAATAATTGTGTTCTACAAAAATATTTTTCCTACTGAGTCTCATTTCTTAATCCGTTATCCATTCTGTTAATAAGGCAGAAATTGACCGTGGTTGCTTTGATAAACAAAACAATTGGGCAGGTTGCAAATTCTTAGAACGTACTTAGAAACGACTAAGAAGTTACGAGTTCAGAGTGCTTTGGACACGAGCGTTCGGAATATTAATTTGATAACGTTTGGACCTTGACACAAGAGCTTCGTCAGACCAGGTAAATCAGTGTGCAACGGACGTGGTATTTTATAACAAACAGGGAGGAAAATCGTGTTACCCGACACTGGAACTAAGGTATCATTGCAGTCACATTTTGTGATGTTACCTCAGATGATTCAGTCACGGTGGGAATAGTATAACTGTTCCTTTCTGTGAACCAAAAGTCTGGTAGAGTTAAGTAGACGACACTGTTATACTTGTTAATCTGTATAAGAAGGGCGATTTGATTGATCAATTTAACTAACTTGATGCTAAATTTTACTATTGATTTGGACCATTTAACGGCACATTATCACTTTCTTACTGCCTGGCTCAAAGGAATAGGGGAAATATAAAGACGACCATATATCGCAAGATACTGACAGCGATTTTACTACACTCCGGGTCATCCGAAACTGGTTTACGCTGGGAGACCTTCAGCACTATTCTACAGCGCACAAACCCTGTGTACAATAGCGGAGGAAAAAGGCCTCGTGGGAAATGACATAGGGAAACTATTAGGTAGTGTTTCCCTACGACGGCTACTCAAATGCTGGATACATAAAGTGCTAAACTGACAGTCAGTACCCACAACGGAGTGCATAGGGACGGTAGGAATGCCGTTCAAGCTAGTCTTTTCGGAGGCAATTCGGAGGATACTAAACAAGGAAAATATAAATGTGATCTTCCAGGGAGGTCAAACGCTGTATTCAGTGGTGGTATACCCAGTCCCCCATCTCAAATATATGACGGCTTACTATGTTTTCAAAAATTCAATTAAGAACTGTACACAGGTATACATAAGCCAAACTGCGAGAGAGTTGGCCCACGAATCTCAGAGCACAGGAGGCTCATTACAAGACAATCAGCAAACGAGTTTGAATACCATGCAGTCATGAGTACTCGGTCCTGGCTGTGCATATATTAGACACGAGTCACCAGAATGATTTGGATAACGTAGTGGTCAACTCTAAACAGTGAATAGAATGGAAAAGCAGAATTATCTAGTGAGAGGAGAGCGATATTAAGCCGCCCACCTGACGCGCCTGAGTGCGCGGATCAGATTAGAAAGTGCAAGTTGAATCTCATTAATACCACCGTCGTCTTATCCATCAATGACATGACATGCCATCTGAATTCGAATATGCAGGTTTCATAAGATTGGCTTGGAGTATAATATTGTAAGAATTCTGAAGCTGGAGGTTAGGAAGACAGCCTTAGACATCTGTCTCTTAGGTAGTCAGAATGTAAATTGATTAACATAACATGTTATTATTTGGCTTGTTAGCAAATCAGATCTTAGATATACATAATATCATACTTTTAGCTCCTTGTTACGAGGTATTTCATTACCAAATTACAATATCCGTAGTTTAAACTTCAGAAACACGATTTATTCTACACTGAGTTATTTACTAAAGCGAGCCCGTGATATCTGTGCGCGAATCTGTAGTTGCTGACTGAGTGAAAGCATTAAGCTGATTGGCATAACTTTCGTTTTTACTCGTTTCAGCGTCTGTCATGCCTCATGCAGGTAAGCATTTGTTAGTCGTGCACAACATTTCACTTAAACTTCAATGAACAGTAAAGCGTTCGTTCCAAATTCATCTGGGTGTCCCAACTTCACATGCGTTAACTAACAATGTGGGCTTGCATTTAGTATATTGCGATTTTATGTAACATACATGCGTATATTTCCCGAGGGGCTGAATATGTTTCCTGAATACTGTACATGTGATTCTGCATTACTGCATACGGTAAAATAGGAGCATACAGGAATATCATGAACAATCCTGCACTCTCCGGAAAGGTATTTTTTGCAGACCAGAAGGGGATTTTCACAGTTGGTGTCCGGATACAGTGCCATTAATTTCCCTGGGTACCGAAAATGTCTCAACCACATTACAACTAATGGACAACTTGAATATGCACAATATTGACTCTAACGGTGCGCAATTCAATTGTTTCTTTTGAATGCCTACATAAACGAGAGTGCACATAATTCGACTGCAGATCTGTACTGTACATAAAAGTACTCGCTTGTTAAATAAAACAAATAAATATTTATTTATTTGCTCACGTTTGGCCGGTCATATATCGAACATATTTCATTGAGATGTAGTTCATTTTCAAAATGGAGATTCGTGACAATATGATGTGTTGTGAAATAAGCAGGATTTGATTTGATAAAATAAATGCTGTTGCTTACGAAACTTTGATTAAAATTAATCATTACCAAATGGAATTTATTATGCGACATCTCTGCAATAACCGTGCTTATGTTCTTGAGATCAGCGTGTAAGACGAAAATTATACCACCTTTATTGTTATCATCTAGAAGTAGAAAAAAGGAATTATTTAGACGGTTTGCCTGTTTTCATAGAGTTCCTGTTTATTGTGTTTACTGCAATGTATGCTGCCTGTCTCTTCGTTGCTACTTAGAAACCGGCTATCTCTTTCATGCGCTTGGTCTGCTAACGAATGATGCCCACAGCTTCGTGCAGAGTAAGTCAAGCAAGCGAGCTTGTGTAAGCTCACAAGTCCTTCAATATGTGTTTATGTTCAAATTTTACGTCTAAATTTCGAATTTTCTTCTGTGCATATTCTTGTAACGTCTGCTCAAAACCCATTAGCTGCACCCATTTTACTTGTTTTGCAGCCAAGCGCACTGAGCAAATCACACGAACCATTGAGATGGTTCGATAAGGTCGCTCTAATGTGCCTCGCGATATTGCGAATACAAACATCCGTACAATGCTTAAGCCTCACTAGGCGTCATTTCTCTGTTGAAGAGAGTAATGAAAAAATCGGCACATCCATGGTACTCTATTAGTACATATGCATCATGATATGGTTTTCACCTACACCAAGTTGTTTTAATCAAAACAAGTAGAAAGGCTTTGCAAGTAGTTCTCACACGTCAGACAAAGGTCACATGCGATGTTGTTGCTAGCCCATTAGCTTCATTTACTTTTTTAATCGGCCTGTATATGTTATGTATGATTAGGAATAAAAGAGCTGATTTATGTGAATTATCCTTTGATGGACTACCTTTCAAATATGAAGTAGAATATGGATATGAAAGGGACGATGTATAAGCATCATTGAGCCCGTGTATGTCAACCATCAGTTTGTCTGCTGTTAACAGAAAGGTTGGTGATTCATGCACACCCGGTAGTCGCGGTTGGGCTGTAGCGTAGAGGCAACGAGCTTGTCTCGTAATCTTGCTGCGCGGGTCCGAATCCGCGTGGGAGTGGGCTTCCTCGCGGTATACTCAGTCGGCGTGTGACTTGTGGTTGTGGCACGGCAACGAAGCGCCGTTACGGCGCACAGCTGACGTTAATTACCATCAGTTTGTTCGACACTAATAAGCCAAACACTAAACCAACTAGACAGTTGGGTAGATTTCACACTTGTAATGTACTATACAAATACTTTCTCGTAAATGGAAGTGTATACTACTGGTTACGCGTCAATTACAAGCTGGGCAATATCAGGCAGTATTGCAACTACTAAAGTAAACCCTACGATACCCATGCTAAAATTCACCATGGCAAATTATGGTTCATTGTAAATGCCAACCAATTATACGTATTTGTTGTACTTCAAGTTAGACTGACTTGACTGAATGCAAATTCGGTCGAATGGCACATGTACAAAAAATTAATTTTCAAAGAGAAATTTATGATGATTGGATAGAACCGCGAACGGATGAGCGATAAAACTTCTTATACGTCTACTTAATTCAACAATAAAAGATTCTGGTGTATGACAATTCAGAGAAATAATTGCTTGTTATCTAACCAAGATTAATCCTAACAGTGGAAAATATGGTACTAGCTAACGAAGTTTGCTTTTTAAAGTTGGTTTGGAAGTTAATATTAAACTTTTTGGATTTGCTAAACTAACGGCATCCAAATACTTTTCTCTGGTTTTGTCCTACAGATGACATCAACACGTATTCGTAAATATGTTAGCAATGTTAAATTATTTGCTACCTGTTGTCTGTTTCCAATCGTTAATTATATGTTAGTCAACTTTCATAAATGAGACGTTTTTACATCCGTTACAATACTAGTGTTGGAAGATCTCAATGAAAAAAACTACAAGACTCTGGCGAACCTCCTTAGACACCACCACTGTAAGTGCATACCGCTTGTAACAATAAATGGTTTTAGTTCGTCTTTTAGGAGTTAACTTGATTCGGCAGAATTATTCCACGTTTTGCCATCATCGGATGCAATATGCGCAGTAGTGGCACAACATCCTATTTAATCGGATTTAATATAGCCTCTAGCCTGCTTAAACTCTGCAGAACGGGCGCTGTGTAATCTTAAAGCTGCACTCACTTTTTCCCATACAGCTTCCTCACTCGGTGCGGCAGATTACGACACTATGCTACAGACTTGGATGCAGATTGCTATAGGTATGTTTATAAACTGATGACTTCTTCATGATTTTCTCAGACGGTAACAGTCCGGCATTTTAAATGTGGTGGATAAATTTAGAATATAAACGTTTGAAAGGAAACAAATGGGGAACGTTTTAGCCATTACATACCTTCATGTTACTTAGAGCCCCATATTTCTTATGAACCGAAATACAGCGAAATCTCATCGTTCCCTTACAATGGTGCAACAAATTATACTAGCGATTAGTAACGTCAACTGCTTAATCGCATTCAAGTACCACTGCAGCATTCATTTTTATATTTCTTCTATTGGGTTAAATGCAACATGCATTTTACAATGATCGAAGAAATATTTCGCTCATAATTTTGCATCTACCATTATACAGCCTGATAGACAAATAATCAGATTTGACAAACACAGATAAGTCAAAAAATTTTGTGCTTTAACTTTAACTGCTGCAGTTGTGAGAAGAATCGAAGAGGAAATATTCTGTATTGTTTTTAGAATAGATATAAAACTGTAATGTCCAATTTTAATCGATTTGCGGTGGGTATAGACGAGTCTAGGTTATTTTTAACTGAGCAATTTTTAGAGTAAAGTCTCTTTCATCATTCCAAGTGAACATCAAGTAATAATGCATGAGGTAACTCAAGGTAATCTGTTAGTTTGCCTGCCAGTTAACCATTTTTTGTAAGATCCTTAATGACCTTAATATTACAACCTAATATCACATGATTTTCTCCAAGCACTTGATGCTTCAAAGTTTCCCTTATTTATAGTCCCTCATATATACATTCTGTAAGTATAAAGTCTACCCAATGCTACTTTCGTGGTGGGAACCACATCAGCATCACGTTTAGATCCATTAACTATGTCGATCACAATTCCACTAAGGACAATAATTATCCATATGCAAACAATTAGTGTGGCATATTCTGAAGACTCAAAGCAGTACATTAAATTCCGCTCGTTCACTGAAAAATATCGGTGAAATTTTATCATGTTCAAACTGACATACGTATGACGTGTAATGTGAACAAGCTGCAAATTTATGCCTTTCAGGATCCGAGGAGCTCACTGAAAGTTTCCTCCGTCGAATGCATAATTTAGCTGGAGCAAACAGATGTAAGTTGCTTCAACAAAACGGTTAATGTTATCAGAACAAAATAAATGCAATTCTGGCGTGACTTTGCAGTTGAGGAGAAAAATGTGTCCATCATATTTTGCAACGGAAAATTCTTTATTCGGTGTTGCCCTAATATTTAGTATATAACCTTAGTACTCGGGTTATTGTCGCCCTCTTGACATTCACCATAGCCAACTCAGCTGTTTATCAAATGGAACCAAAATCCTTGTGGTTTAGTGGCCACGCTTATTGTTTAACCAGGTCCGTGAATATTTTCGGTATTCTAATTCCTATAAGGCTTTGAGATCAGTGAAATTATGAGTTATATTCAAACTCTTAACAAACAGCGTGGGATGGATTGAATGAAAAATAAAACTTGTAAACAGAGTGCTGATAAAATAACATGCATATTGCACAATCATTTTAGGGTCTGCAGTAAAACGCGTTTAATTATTTCTTCCTGGATATTAAGGAGTTTCTTATTTTGTTTACAGATTTTATGCACTATTGCATTATTGTTATATTCACGCACCTCATAACATAGCATATGCATGTCAGTGTGACATTAAGTCGTTTTCAGTATTGTGATAATAAGGGATATTTACATATTGTGTTGCGACGAAGTTCGAAGTCTGTGCACGCTAGGGGAAATATTTTTTTGATATTCCAGTCGGCTCAACAGCGCTGTCAGCTAGAATTGAGATGTAATTTTAGTGCGTTTTCAAAGATGCTGGCAAGTGTAGTCTCTCTATTTTTATGGATTGGGTACACCAGATTATCAGGCATTGGGTTATACCACAAGGACATCGATCGGGTGGCATATGTGGCAGCGAAACCTTGCATACAGATGGCATCAAATGAGAAGCTCGACTGTGCAACACAGGAAAGGATCACTAAATCCACTTTTCAGAAGCTTACGAAATCAAATACAAGAATGCATCTGCTTAAGTGCTTTTGAGAAGTCCAGCTTGACGGCATATACCGAGACAACAGCATCGAGTTATTCCGTGCATCATGCATGTGCTGTCAGTATATTCCTGGTGCACGACGAATTCCGGCAAATTCCGTGTTACTCCGGAGCAATACTTTTGCTACCCTGCTGTTCCCGTATGAACGCATCAGCGATAGTGGAGTCTATGGCTGAAAATGAATAATCGTGCAATTCACTGGCAAGGTCTAAGTTGGTCAAATTCTATTAGGTCAATTTGCACTTCGGTTGAAGGAATAGATGTACGGACGATACAAGTAAAGGGCGAAAATTCTTACAAAATCTATACGTTTCCAGTAACTGAGTATCAGTCTCCGAATGTCGGAAAAATCGACAAACTAAATAGTATTTCGGTAGTAACTCTAAGCGATCTGCTTTTAATAGGGCACGCAAGACCGTCGAATTGCAGGGTACCATAAGGCTGTTTCTAACTATGCCACGAGGAAGTTACTCTTGAATCCTTACCGATTAGCTAGTATATTGGACAACACACGTGCTGTCGTAAATGGAGAAAGTGATATTGATTAATGAAACGGATATATTGTCCGGTCTGTCCAGGTTATACTTGCGCATGTTCGCCTGGATATTTTTAGCAAAAAGCAGTCTTGGTGGTAATAATATTTCAACTATATCGGCATCTACATTCATTCGTTCAACAAAAACAACACACACAAGTTCATCTATATGCGAAATTTTACCCTCAGTTGTGCGCGTGTAAGGAAGATTGAATTAGTTAAGCAGCAGCACGTCAGCAAACAGTCACTGGTTGTCAAACAGACGTAATATTATAGTCCACTTTCGTGTTTTCCGCAAGTTTATCAAACTCCATTGTTTAGCTACAGAATGAGAGAACATCGTTTAACTTACCGGTTATAGCGTTTCCTCAACTAATCTGGTTACTGGTAAGAATTCGAAAGTGGCATGTCAATTGCCGAGATCAACGGGACCACGGAATTGTGCACATGATGTAAGCTAGAGAGTCGGAGTAAATGTAGGAAACTACGTTCAGATGCTCAGATAGAAAGTCACATCTTGATAGAAAATCGTAATCATTTTGTCGCTTTCACACTTTTAATCCGCCTTTTTTATGGTTTATATTGATCCCCTGAATCACGCAGGCACATGCAAGCGTCTTGCAGAGATCCTGCAGTAATGAGATGCAGTTCCACTTTTTAGGATCTGACTCTTTTTACTATATCGTAAAAGTAGTTTTTAATGTTCATTAGAAAACTGGAGTATTGGGAGCAGGTGGGAAATCCCTTGTCAGCTCCATCGATCACGAATCATCACAATGTGAGTGCCTCCTGTCGGGAAGCGTCACTAATTCGCAAATCGTCAACTGTAAAGTAAGAGCATCAAGGCCCTGCCAAGTGCGTTTGATGGGTGCCCAGCAATGGCTTGAAACTTTCCATTGTCTGCGAGACAGCTGCGTGCTTCGGCAGACTGTTCTAATCATTTGTTGCCCTGGAAGACAGAGCAACTTGCGGACAGGCGCGAAGTGTCCTCGGCTTAAGTAATTTCCACTTGTGGTCACGTGTTCGCGCTGCCAACAATGAGGTAGAAGAACAGCAACTGCTCACTCCCAAGCTCTCCCCTTAGAATGCGTCTGGTGTACAGCAGATCGCCGCAACGGCGGCAGTATTCCATGGAGAACAGGTTCAATTTCTTAAATCGAAGAGTGTAGTGGTGATCCCGAAGTTTTGCTATATATTTTTAACCTTGCCTCTGGACCTCCTGTCAGATAATGCTTATATTTCTTTAGGGGTTAGAAACCGGGAGAAGATACTTTAGGATTGGAAGGACATGCCAAGCTAACATGGTTTTAAAAATCTCCGGCGTAATTTTGCAAAGTCCAGGGCATTCAGTTGGTTACCGTGACCTTCGTCTGCGTGTCAAGCGATGTCTTGAGATCGTGCGAGACGAAGACTCCCAGGTCCTTCTCATATGTGACAGACTTGAGATATCCTCTGATATGGTACCACCGAAGGTATCCGGACTTGTTATTTGCAAGTTGACGGAACAGTGAATAATGCAACACAGAGTAAATTTGAAAACTGAAGAGCCAATTAATACAGAATATCCACTACGTATGGTGGATGACTAAAACATGAATATAATTAAGCATCAGGCTGATCCGCAGCCATCCTTAAAATATAAATGCTGAATGAGAAAGATGTTAAAACTTAAAATTCTCGATAAAAATAAAGAAAATAAACAAAAATACTAGCATTAAATTACTGCAGTAGCAGAATTGCAGAATACCGATGCATTTGCTTGAACATGTGGGCATTTTTTACTTGACTGCGTACAAATTTATGTGTGATTTTTATTAGTTGACATAACTATTAATAGTACTGATGAGACAATACGAAATGCGTGCAGTTGCCAGCCTTCGTCTTCTTACTGCGCTTCTCGAAATAAATATTGTTTTGTGTAGATACTGATTTTGTAACTAATATTTCAGACCCAAGCACAGTCATATTTCATCCTTAGTGTTAGAGTTTACAGAGTAGGGTGCAAACGTTTGAGTACATTGGTCGCGACAAAATCTTAATCATAGCACTTTCAAGTAATGTACTTTGCCTCCGTCTTCCTCTTTGTGAAGCTGTCGATTACACAAGCGCCTTGCTTTCCAATTTGAGGATCTATCTGAAATCGTATGTATCGGGTGAGTTACATTATGTGGCGAGCTTTGGATCTGAGTGCAATTAATAAGCCTATTTTGACTGAATCTCACAAGTTTAGAATCAACACTTGATGTACAGAATTATGCACCTCGGCTCAAACCAAATATTTGATTCAATGTTAATTCATTCGGAACCATAATGTCACATGATAGCAGCCAATACAAGTACACAATATATTTTGTCACTATCTGAATCAGGAGACATTCTGAGTTAATATAATAATATCCATGGATAACTGCGCTTCATGATTAGCCGCTTTATAAAAAGCTCCAAATTAAGCAAATATGTGTCATGTTCATGCTTTTCTTTCGACCGAATTCAACAACATGAATAGGAAAATAATAAGTCACCCTGTGAATCATTCGATGCAAGTTCAGGAATAATACTTACAGTATCATAGGACACTTGCATGAGCATCTTAACCGCATATTTGTCAATTCGCACCGTTTATATTCGACTGCTAATAACTAGTTTCTCCTAGTTGTGTTAAGGATCTGTGATTTGGTTAGTAGTCGCTGCCTGCAATTAAATTAATGCACCGCATTATACTTTAATCAGAACTCATCTAATATAAGTATTCAGTATTTGTACTCACCGCATTTATAATGTTCCACAATACTCCATTTTGGATAACCTGAATTCACAAGTTTTAACCTGACATCATCCTTCACAGGTATTTTGAAGAGGCAACATACAGTGTTGCAAACAGCTTTCGGTTTCGTCAACCAAAATTCAAGTGGGTTAACGCTCGCTCGCAAAGAATGTGTCATGTAAAATATGTTACTTAGAGATTTTAGAAGGTTATGCCGCTATACCAACCACAAAAGAGCAATACAATTTAGCGGCGTTTCGAGGGTCAAACTTGCCAATAGATATCCAGTTACTAAATTATACAGCACATATGTTTCTGAAACATATGGCTGTCACGTTATGCAATACCTGGAATTCAATAAGCCCTGCTGAGTTTTATGTAATAACAATGCAGATATTACGACCTTGACCAATCTAGCTTTGACATGTTGCTGTCCCAATTTGTTAGATTGTATGTTTGGGTTGTTGGGCGATAATGTATACTCTCAAAATTGAGCCTGGTTTATCGCACCACCCGATATGCCTTCTTTCTATTTGGTTGCCAAGGTGCGGGAGTTTATGAAGAGATTAAGCGTACTCAGGGGGTGTCATCCCCTAAGCAATTCCATTTATAAAGGAATATCCGTACTCAAGATATAAAAAATCATTTACACCGGATACGTTTACGTGTGTCGTATAACTCGGCTGGGATACCGTTAGGTTGCTCGACTATGAATGACAGCAGAACCAGCATTATGGCCTCAACATTCTCGTTAAAGGTGGATGAAGTTTTGATAACACATTTCTCTTATTTGGGCGAAGTTTATGTTTCCGTCATCTGGTGCTAGGAGTGAGATCGTGCCATTTTTACGCTTGGAATGCCTACGTTTTACGTGTATGATCAATTCG